CCACCACACACAGCTGTAGAGTGCTTCACTTGCTTCATGTTGCTGAGAAACTGAAGTTGGGGCTTGGGAAAGAGCTCAGCCAGTAAAGTGCTTTTCACATAAGCATGAAGTCCTGAGTTCAGTTCCTAGAATCAGTGTAAAATGTTGGAAATAGCAGCACACAGCTCTAATTCCAATGCTGGGAAGGCAGAGACAGAGGGATCCCTGTGTCTCGTTGGCCAGCCAGCGTAGCCTAATTCTAGGCCAGTGAGAGACCTTGTCTCAGAAGGCAAAGTGCATAGTGCTTGAGGAATGATACCTGAGGTTGTGCTCTAGCCTTAACATTTTCAAATGCACTTACACACACACACACACACACACACACACACACACACACACACACACACACACACATACACACACACACACACACAGAATATGCATGTTTTTATTTCACTTATATTAGGTTGGCATAGCCATATATGATGAGCAGATACTGAATTGGATAGCAAGGCTCGAAACAAAAAAAAAGGGAAGAGAGTTGTCTGATGCAGGGTAAAGGTTTAACCTCATGAACGACAAGTTGCAGTAAGCCGCTGCTCTTACTGTAAGGTATCTGCTTTGCTGGAGGGTTGTGTTCATCCTTTCAGCTTCGGGGCTTTCTGCTTAGAGTGTTGGGATTGGAGGGATCCCTGAAGACAGCGGTCTGGCTTACTTCTCCCCACACCTGCACAGTGCTCACGGGGCGCCGAGGTCAGGAGCGCGGAGAGTGTCGAGGGGAGCAGGATCCCAGGGCTGCCCTTTCCCAGCTGTGCCAGCAAAGACTGGGAAGTCTCAGCCTCACGGCTGGTGATGGGGTGATAGGGATATGAGGAGCTGATGGTGCAGAGGACCACGCAGGGTTCTTGATGCTGCGCTGAGGTGTGGGTGAGTCCAGGGTGAGGATTCCAGCCATTGTACGTGGACTGCAGCCCCCTGGCATGGCTTCTACAGGTGGCTCCAGTGGGAGTTTCCCAGATCAAAGGCAGTTCCTCCGGGGGACAGAGTGAGGATGATGTATGACTATCTGGGCCTCTGCAAGGTACCCGGGACGTGTTTACAATCCAAACTGTGACTTGAGGGGAAGCAAAAGGGAGAAGTCATACACCCAGTTTTCCTGGCTCCTCTGTCCTCCCAAGCAAGTAGGAAGGTAGTTTTTGTGTTCTAACTTTGGCCCAAAATTCTCCATTAGATACTGGATTAGGCTTTCCTTTACCCGATTCTGCTCAACGCAAGTAACCTCCTTCTACTCTGTGGGGGGTCTCAGTTTGTCCTTCTGTAGAATGGGGAGAACGTGATTACTCTAGATCCTTGCTACTCAGAACACAGTCTACCATCCAGCCGTATTAGCCTCACTTGGAAGCTTATTAGAAAGGTTCCATCAGAGCCAGATATAGTGACACATGTCTGTCATCCAGCACTTGGGAGGCTAAGGCAGGGCATGACTTTGAAACCAGCTTGAATTATACAGACCCTGTTTCCCCACCCTCTCCTCAAAAAAAAAAAAAAAAAAAAAGAGCTGAGTGTGATAGCACAAACACATTTGTTCCAGCATTTGGGAGGTAGAGGCAAATGAACTCGAAGGTCAAGGTACACAAGATACACAGTGAGTTTGAGGCCAACCTGCCATACAGAAGACTCTACTTTTTTTAAACAACTGGTAACACAAGCAAAAAAACAAAAAACAAAAAAAACCCACACATACACACACAAATGCAAAACCAGCCTCCTTAGACCTGCCAGGTGAAAATCTGCTGGTGGAGGAGTTGCCCTGGTAACAGGTACGCAGAGTGAAGTGCAGCTGGGGGAGGTGTCACGGTCCTCCCAGCATTCTGTGGGCTGGAGATGAAGGTACAGAGTGTTTCATCTTAGGAAGCCAGTTTCTGGGGAGGGCTTGGCTTGGCAAGCTCTGGGGCTCTGGTCTTTGCATCAATGAAACAGGTCTCAGCAGGTGCATGCATAATGGAGTGGCATGTGCCTGAGAGGCAAGCTTCACAGAGTAGCCTGAGGGATGCCCAGAGCCAGAGGCAAAGGGTTCCCTGAATGCACCTCTCTGAGGGGCAGGCTGGACTCTTTGAGCCTGGGGTCCCTTGCACAGAGGTCTCACATATTTCATCACAGTGGGTTGTACTAACGGAGCACTCTGAAAAGGGTAAAGAGGAGCTCTGGACTAGAGGAGGCTTCCTAGGGCCTCAACTTCCTGTTTACCTGTGATTCAGAGCAGGACTCAATCTGTTCACTCTCCTGCCTCCTTCTTTCTTAGGGTGCTGCTTCCAGACCAGGTGGCCAGGAAGATATATGTCTCTGTCAGGAGAAAGCTAGGCCTGGGGACAGACCAGGTGTAACCAAGGAGACGGCTGCCTGTTCCCTGACTCAAGAAGGGGGGTGGCTCCCTTGTGATGTGTTGGAGAAGGTATCTAATGCAGAAATGGAAATCCATGGATACCGAGAAAAGCTTGGTCTCAGGACAAAAGGTTGATGCCAGTGCCCTCTCTGACCTCAAGAGTGTGGTCACCTGCCCACCTCCCAAAACCTTGCTCGAGCTTGACTTCAGGGTCACAATTTTGTCTCCAAGGGGCAGAGAGGTGGCCCAGGTCAAGAACTTACTCTCATCAGTGGATGTGGTAGAGAGATAGTTGAGGTGGTTATTGTGCCAGTTTAACTGGTAGAGCTGCCTTCCAGCTTTGTGGCCCTCAGCAGAGGCTCAGTCTTGTCTTAGCGCTGTGAGTGAGAATGTGCCTTTTACTGAGCACTCCTGGGAATGTATGGACATGCCGAGGTGTGAAGCACACCGACTGGACAATGTCTTGTGTTCCCACCAGCTCTTGTGTGCTGGGAGCCCAGGGTTAGATTGCACACAACCAGTCTTCAGGAATTGGAGGCATAGTTCTGGAGGAGAGAGCTGACTCTGAACCGTACCACCTCTTGACTGTGTGATCTTAAGCAATACTGTGCTTTGTGGCTCGGTCTCCTCACCCACAACTAGACACTGCACAGAGGGTGACTGTGGGAGAGCACTGTGGCGACTATGGGGAAGGGAATCAGGCAGGGGTCGAGCCTAGCAGGAGCCTCGTTCATGTCTGTTCTGATCAGCGCAGGTGAGAAAACTGGGCGGTAGAAAGATTGTGATCTTTTCTTAAGGGTGCGTGTTTGCACGCTGGTGTACGTGTCAGCGGTCTGTTACCCTGACAAGCACCTGTGATAAATCCAGTGATAAAGCGGGGAGGTTTATTTTGGCTCACGGTTTTGGAGATTCTGGTCCATGATCAGTTGGCTCCATGGCTTTGGGCCCTGTGGTGAAGCAGCACATCATGGCAGGAATGTGTGGAGGGTGAGAAGCTGCATGGTTTGTAGCTGGCAGGCACAAGAGAGAAGGGGAGACCAGTGTTTCTTATCCCCCTCCAGGCCACACCCCCAAGGGCCTAACTCCACCTTTTAAAGGTTCCATAAGCAGTAACATCAAGCTGAGGGCTTAGCCACAAACACTGGAGTTGTCCCGACAAAGTTCCTGCAAAAATTCACTTTCTCACAATTCTGGAGACTGGAACCTGTGTTCAAGGCGGGTAGGGTGGCAGATCAAGGCTTTCTTGAGGCCCCTCTCCATGACTTGATCATAACCAGCTTCTGCTTGGCATGGCAGTCCTCTCCTCTCTGTCCTCTTGACAGTAATATAATGTACCTGACCACCTGTCTCGTGTTTCTCATCGGACAGCATCCAAACGCCAGGGACCCGGGAACCAGTGGGGATCTGTTTGTTTTTAAGGTTTACTCATTCTTATCGGGGCAACAGCCACAGTGCACACGTGAAGGTCAGGGACAACTTTCAGGAGCCAGTTCTCTCCTTCCATCTTGAGATAGAGTCTCTCTTATTTCTGCTATGGCGCTGTGTAGTCCAGGCCAGCTGGCCTGCGAACTTTCAGGCAATTATCTCTTCACCTCCCTTACTGCTGCGGGGTGCTTGCGTGGCAAGTGGTTTTACCTGCTTAGTCATCTCACTGGCCTCATGAGCGGGTGTGTTCTAAGCTCTGTGTCCCAATCACCCCTCACAACTTAAGTCCAGATTGTGAGAAGTATTACTGCTCCCCCTTTTAACAAGAAAGCCCAGGCATGGACAAGCTGAGCAGCCTGCTTGAAACCACGTAGTTGATGGGAGCTACAACCGGAACTCAAGCCTAGATTTTTAGAATCACTCTTCCAGGCTCTTCTGCCCAGCTGCTGAGTGTCCCTGCTGTGAGCAGCTTCCAGTGCTTCCATGCTGACCTCATGTCAAGCACAGTGCTCTGTGGTCTTCCAGCCGTGCGTCTATTCTGGTGTTCATAATGGCCCTGCAGTTTGATGCTATATCATTTCATTTCTCTGATCTCAAATGAGAAGAGCCCTGTGGCTGGGACCTCAGGAAGGCTCTGGTGACCACATTCCTGACCACCTTGTTGTCCTGCTCATCTGTTAGCTCAGTCTGGTCTAGGGTTTGGCTGAGTAACAAGGAAGGTGGTATAATCCCTGCTATGCCCCCCCCTCGAAGCGTGCTCTGGCTCACACTGGATGCCTCAGCCTCAGCAGACCCTTCTCGATACTGGTCCTTATGTCCTCATGAAACCTCTGTAGAGAGTCCTGTCTTCTGCAGCCTCTGAGGCATTAGGAACTCCCATCCCCGGGAGCTGGAAAGCCACAGGACACAAGTGTGTCCATGAGTACTATCACTCTGGACACCATGGGATCTTTTTTGTTGTTGTTGTTTTAATTATTTTTATTTCATGTGCATTGGTGTTTTTGCCTGCATGTATGTCTATATGAGGGTGTTGGATCCCCTGGAACTGGAGTTACAGACAGTTGTGAGCTGCCGAGTTACAGACAGTTGTGAGCTGCCGTGTGGGTGCTGGGATTTGAACCTGGGTTTTCTGGAAGAGCAGCCAGTGCTCTTAACCACTGAGCCATCTCCCCAGCCCACCACTGAATCTTTTAACACTCTGCTTGTTCTACAGGTGACAACCTGGGACTCCAGGACAGCCATGAAAGGATGAGCAAAGCCCCTGTACCTGACAGCCACTGACACTCTTGCTCCTCTGTTGATTCCTGCATCTCTGAGCTGGTATGGCAGCTGGACTTGGGAACACTGAACATCTGGGAGCTTGGCCTGTTACTGTGAAGATGTGTAATGGCCTAGAGTGCAGGTCTGCTGAGGAAGTCATGTGATTCTTCTCATGCATTGATGGGGTTCCCACACCCTGGAGAGGACAGGCCAGCCGAGACCATCATGACCAAGGTCCTGGCAACCCTGTAGCCTGACCAGTGCGGGGTGAGCTGGCCTGCAGCTGCTGGCTATACCCAGAAGTCCCCAGCATCATTCCCTGTGAGCTCTTTCTTTTAAGACCTTCCACAGCCAAAACCTGCTTCAAGCCTGTCAACAAGTTGAATTCCAACCCTCCTGCCAGAAGTTTCAGTGGCCAGATGAAAACACTGTCCCAAAAGAAACTTAAGTATCTGTAGGATTCACTGCTGTAGAACTGTATCAGGAACCTGAAAGCTCCTCTGTGCAGAAAAGCTTGAAGGCTGTGTGCTCTACAACAGGGCAGCTCCACGCACAGGGACCTCTACTTCCTGTGGCTCAGACACTGGCGAAGACACAGCTGAAGGTCTAATGTCAGGGAAGGGTGCTGGACATCACTCCCTTCTGTTGGAAGGGTCCTTACATCCATCCACAAAGCGAAACAACCTCTGACACCTGACCTCAGAGGGACTCTGTGCAGAAGTACGAGGTCCTCACAAGTTCAACCCGAGGAATGTCCCTCCCCCACCTCATGCTGCCCCACCAGATTCCATCACAAAGAGGGTGCCAGTGTCCAGGTCCAACTTCCCCGGAGAACACGGCACAGTGAGGTCACAAGGCTCTTTGGCAGCCGATGGCAAGCTGCCTTTGTTTTTTTCTAAGCTAGCTGAGACCTGAGAAGAGGGCTGTGCCATTCCCCCGAGGCCTGCAGGCACCACTCGCTACCATCCCTCTTCATCTTCTGGAGCAGTTCTCCCTGGGAACCCTGGGAAAGGTGGCCTCCCAGATACCAGAGACAAGTGCCTCTGTTGTTTGGGCAGAGCCAGCCTGGGTCAGGCAGGGTGCTGGAGGAGGACACCCGGGCTTTGATTCCGAGCTACTCCTTCCTTCCCGACCCTCCTCCCAGCCCACCTGTGCAGAAGGTCCCCTCTGCCTGCCTCGGTTCGCTGAGCTGGCACAAAGAGCCACACTGAGCCCAAGGTCAGGGGCATCAGATTAGCCACTGAGCAGGCTTGAGAAGCAGAGCCTCTGGGAGCCACTTTCTCAGGATAATGTCTGCTTGTTCTAGGCACAAACACAGGTCTATTGGGAAGGACCTGGGGAGACGGTTCAGAAACCAGGGCTGCATTCTCCCAAAGGCCAGGTGGAATCTCTGAGCACAAAGACAAAAAAAAAATTATCCCATATCTGTGTTGTTAACAATTCCCATCCTGATGTTTATCTAGATTCCTATACAGACACCTTCTGTGTGAGTCAAAAGTAAAATAAATAAGCCACAGTGGATCTTTTAATAAAATAGAAATTAAATTGTCTTTTCAACATAAGAATAAGTCCATCATCCAGAGTTATTTCCTCTCCATCTACTTTGCCATCCTCGGTGCTTGGTTCCTACTGTGTGATGCAAGGGAGGTCCAGCCATCTCATCTGCATCCCAGCCAACAGAAAGGCAGAAGGAAGGAAGGAAGGAAGGAAGTCCTTTTTCCTTTCCCTTAAGGGCATTGGCTGAAAGTCTGCTTTCTTGGTTGAACTTAATCCCAAGGCCACAAGGATACTGAGGAATGTGCTGACTATTCTAGGTGGCCAGGCACCCAGATAAAAACCAGAGGTTCTATTACTGGACAAAGAAAAGACAGGTAGACGGGCAACACACATTGACAATGTCAAGTTCAAAATCAGCTCATCTGCTACATCCCTGATGGGGCAACCAGGTCTAGAGAAGTCCACACATCAGCCAAGATCACACAGCAAGCCTGTGGCATTGGATTGCCAACTTATAGTCAGTTTCTCTTGCGTCTCTTGGCTTACGTAGAAAGGCTCCATTTCAAAGGGAGGGAGCATGAGGAGCACTTAGCGAGAGCTATGAGACAGGGCCAGAATGGTGACTGAATTTGCCTGTCCAGATCTGCCTGGCCCTGAGTCATGGTAGGTGAGGAACTACTCACAAGGTCTCTGCTCTGGGCCTGTGGGGTGTGCTTCTCCTGCCACATCCCTGTCCCCAGGCTCTGTGGGTGACTCTGTGTCTCCTGTTGATGCTTACTCTGGAGATGCATTTCACTCTGCACTTATGTTTCAGGGAGCATGCTGCTGGAGTGAGAGCTGCTGGGAGGCACAATGTCTCCCTCAAGGTTGTGCTGGCCATGGGCTGGCTCCTCCTGGTTGACTTCTCAGGGGCTGCATCTGCAGGTGAGATTCCACAAAACCTGGACCTCAGTTTCAGTCAGGCTGCTGGGGGAGGGAGATCACAGGGAGTCTCTGGGGGTAGGGTCCTCATTGAACACCTTGGTTGCCAGCAAGCCTCATCCTGCCCCAAGTTTTCTTAGAAAATGACAGACTGGCCTAGAATCATCCCAGGTTGCAAGCTCAGCGTCTGCCTGAGCTCCATTACAAGTGAACCTAGTTGGGAGGGAACTACCGTCCCCATGGAGCTGAGACTCACCTAACGGAGTACCTGTCTCTCAATGCTCGACAATTGGGAAGGGGAGACACTGTTGTAAGATATTTTGAATTTTTAAAAGAGACCAGAAATTTGGATTTTTTTTTTTTTTTTTTTAGAAAATCTTGTTTTTAAATGTTACCTGCTAATACAAAATTTAAAAGCTGCCCAGGAGAGTAAGGAGAGGGGCAAAAGGAGGGAATTCAAATGAGATTCAGCTCTCTGTCTCTGTCTGGGCTACTCAACTTCAGAGCTCAGCATCCAGTACCACTTTATGTCATCAGATCAGGGTCTGGGCCCCATGAAGTCTTTTCAGCTGCAATGCTCTGAGAAAGGACTAGATTGTGTTTTTCTTTTTTGTTGTTTTGTTTTATACACACACACACACACACACACACACACACACACACACACACACACACGTGAAGACCTCACAAAATACATTATACATACATACATACATACATACATATATACATACATATGTACATATATTAGGACCTCACAAGATAGCCCAGGCTGGCTTTAAGCTCATAGATCTGTCTGTCTGCCCCTAGAGTTATGGTATCAAAGGTGTGCACCACCACACCCAGTTGTTTGTTATTGAGACAGTTTCTCTCCCAGTATGATCCAGGCTAGTTTCAAACTTGCAATCTTCCTGCCTCAAGCTCCCAAGTGCTAGGGTTAGAGGCATGCACCACAGCACCCTACTCAGATCTATCTTCCTATCGCAATATTGTCAACTCGGTCTTTAAGTGATTTTTCTTTTATCTTGTGGTATTGTTTTTTCCTTGAGGTGCCAAGCAAGTGGTCATTATGTGATTTTAAATTAAGATTAGAAGCACAGGACACTTCAGTCAGACTAAAGGAAACAGCCATCAGATAACCGGCACCTTCGGCAGGACATGGGAGACACAGACATAAATCTTAGACACTGAACAGAGGGTTAGTGATACTACCATCAATACCGTGCTCATCCTAAAACTTACTATTATTCACTGAGTTTTATGTTTTTCCATAATAAAGGACCTCACATTGAACTGCATTGCTTACCAGCCATTGGAGGAAGGAAGCATTCTGTAGCACAGAATGCCTCCACTGTGGTTTCTTACAAAATCTTCTCAATTCCTGGGTGACATAGCGGGCAGGCAATATGTCAGTGTTCAGTGCAAGGGTTAACGACATCGCCCGAGTTCATTCATCTGCTCGTTCAATTAATAAACACAAAGTGGGTGTTGACTCCAGACTATAAGTTGCAGTAGGGTTTATCTTTCGGGGTGATTCAGCTTGGAGAGGAGTATTCGGATACTTCCTGGGTGTTTCCTCCAACATGCCAGTTTACGTACAAACCTTTTGGAAGGGAGCTGTGCCTTTCTCTGGTGCCCTTTAGTCTGTGTTCTTCGAGAGAAGTAGAAACCACCTTTGCCATTCATGCTTCACGTAGCTGGAGCCTGCATCCCCTTACAGTCCGCTTCACGGGGCCTCTGCCCTAGTCAGGGAAATCAGTGTGGTTGCCATGGTGATGTTTCGGGGATGGCACTGAGGATTTTCAGCTACTCACTGATTCAGATGTATGAATACCCAGCTTCCACAAAGGAGAGTCCACCAAATCCAGTCCTGGAAGTACTCTGTCATAGCCACAGTCTAGGAGCTTCTGGAGAGTGGGGTTCATGCCCCTGACAAAGGGCAAGCCTGTAGGATCAGGCCCACCAGAGCCAGGCCAAGATGCATAGTTGGCTGCAAACTTGCATTCCTGGATGAAGAGAAAGGACCATGGGCTTGACTTAAAGTGAGGCAGTAAGACCTGAGGCGCTATTCACTTAGCCTTAGGAGGCTCTTGGTCTGCACCGCTGGGCACTCCAGGTGGCAACATTTGTTCTCCACACTCTGGGCATTGACTCCTTGAGACTGACTCCCATGTCCAGGGCCAGGTGAAAGGCTACTCGGGATTCTTGACTATCCTGTTTGGAGACAAGCCTAAGTGTGGAATGCAGCATCCAGCTCTTAGAACTTTGAGCACTAGCTTGAGCAGTCTGTATCAAGGCAGGGAAGGCAGCCCAGCCTATGCACAGGCTGGTGGGGCTCCTCCCTCCAGCTAGCAGGGAAGTCTGCATCTGCTCCTTGTGTTGTTATTACTTGAACCTCAGGAGCTGAAAGTGCCGCCTCATTGAAACCCCACAATGGAGGGGTTCACACCAACAGGGGGGCAAATAGAACCAAAGGTGCTGCAGCATACTTGGGAGAGAATGTAGGGAATGGGGATCAGCACCCACACAGAAAACCTGGGCTCAGTGAAAGCCTATGTAGTCCCCATGTGTTGCTCTTGAGTGTAGACAAGGGCATGTCTCCCTCCAGGCTCTCCTTCAGATACCTAACCATGGTAGTTATGACTTCCTTCATGCAGAACTGTAGAATAATCAAACACCCCAAAGAGCTGCCTGTCATGGTACTGAATGGGAACTGGTTCTGGTCCCGTGTTGTGGATGTGGCTCCTGTACCGACTTTACCTGCGGGATGCAGCGATTCTCACTTCTCGGCACTGTGGAGGTTGCTTCCAATCCCAATACCTGCCCTGATCCTCCACCTGAACCCACATCCCTTTGTGGGCTCACCTAAGCCTTACCTCCATCTCCCCACCCACTCTGTTACTTTTAATTCTCCTGATTTTCTCTTTACAATCTAGTTGCTGAGAAAACGAAAATAGTCTCATGTCAATTTGTCCATTCTCCCTGCTTCTTTTTCTGGATCTCTCCTTGCTTGATTCTCCCAGTTCCTAGGACAGAGGTGTCCCTCTTTGCATCTTCCATGGCACAGACCTAGAGCAGACCCCAGCAAATGTTTTAAAAATGTAGGAGTCTTCACGAGACAGGTACACGCATACTGGCCACACTTGGCTTTAGGCTGCTTTGGGGCATGTAGGGCAGGAAGTGCAGCCTGACCTCAGAGCAACAGCAGGTGGCTCCCTGCCCGGGGGTGGGGGTGGGGGGGAGTCCACACAACCTGCAAAAAGCCTTCTTCCCCAGCTCCTGGAGTGACAGCTCAGAACAGAAAGATAAGACTAGCCTGGACAAGTGTAGAAATGGCTCTAGCTTAGTGGCCTTAGGCTCCACCAGAGCCAGAATCTCTTACAGTAATGCTACATGTGTCACTTGGCAGACATGTCCAGCGATAAGAGTTCTTACCCTCAGAGGAACCCACAGTATGACACCTCCACCAGGCAGAAAAGTCCCACCTCTTGCAAATGGGGAGGTGAATCAGAGAAGGAAGGAGGCTGTCCAGAGTCAGGTGATAAAGTCGTGAAAACAGTGGTGCCCTACACCAGGGGTACCTGCCTCCCAGATCAGAGCATCTTTCTGTTGTCTAAGGACTTGCTTTTAACCCTGATGGAGAAGAAATGGGTTCCATGAAGATGTACTTGTGCCCCCTCCCATTATCCTTTGCTTGGTGATGCTGGTGAATGTGAGTAGTGACATGCCATTGTCTTTGGCAGTGGCAGCTGAATGTCCTGACCAGAACCCTGACCTGCAGCCTTGGACGCCTGGCCATGACCGAGACCATCAAGTACATATTGGTCAGGGCAGGAGATTACTGCTCACCTCTTCTGCCACGGTCCACTCCATCACCATCTCACAGGGAGGTAAGCTTTCCTGTCTGTTCCACCACTTTGAGCCCTGCAAATGTCCAGGAGCTGAGCTAGACAGGACAGATGTTCCATGCTTTGGGTTCATGTCAGAGCACCTGAAGATTTGAGATGGCCATCAGCTCAGAGTACTGAGAAATAGCTTGTCAAAGGTCTAATCTTGGGGAAAAGGAGTGTTTAAAATGACAAATCCTATTGGTGCTCTGAAGGGACCTGTTAGTCTCACCTTTACATGCTTGGTAATTGAACGCAGGACGTGGAGTAATGGCAAAGAACCAGATGACCACTGTGAATATCTTGCAAAGCAGATGATGGAGAAAAGTAACTTCTGCAAGGCAGTGGGCATAGAAGTGTTGAAAACTGTGCCCTTTTGCCTGTCTAGAGGGAGGGGGTGCAGGAAATCTGCTCTCGGTTCTGCTCTAACATTACCTAAGGTCCTTGTCTAATCAGACCTCCCCATTCTCTCTCTTCAGGCAAGCTTGTCATTAAAGACCACCACGAGCACATTGTGCTGCGTGCCCGGCATGTTCTGATTGAAGACGGTGGAGAGCTGCATGCTGGAAGTGCCCTCTGCCCTTTTGAGGGCAATTTCAGCATTGTGCTGTATGGAAGGTGGGATGACCTTGCTCAGGGGTCAAGCTCTGCTGTTGGGTCTGATGGGCAAGAGGTTTTCCAAAGGAGAGGCAGGCGAGAGGTCTAGACTTCCAGAGAGGGCAGGAACCACCATTGTGTCCCACTAGACTGTAACCATGAACAAGATGGACATGGTGGAGTGGGTGAGCAGGAGTCCACGGGGCACTTCGCTCATCACGGTATGAATGGAGTAGCTGCATTACAGAAGTCCCTGACGGTAGCTTTCCAGTCATTCCATGATTTGGAGAGACTCTGGAAGAGGTTGCTTAGTGCTAGAAAGGACAAGTGTGCAATGGTTCATGGGCAAGTGTAAACAAATATCTGTTTACTCCAGCGAGGGCACCAACGACAGACCAGGGAAGTAATTCTGCCCAAGTCTAGCATGGAGAACTGATATGTTTATGGAGGTTACTTATAAGAGCGTAGGTGACTCAAAGTAACTGCATCACCCAAAAACCCCCACAGCATGGGTGCTGACTCATGAAAACTGCATCCCAGAAGCTTCCCATCCAACAGGCAGACAACTCCGCTGCAGAGTCCCCTCTGCCTCAGCCATTGTTTACTGCTTGAATATAACCATTGGGAGGGCCCTTCTGAGCCTTCCAACTTCCCTTAGGTTTCTGGGTCTTACGAGCACCGTTCTACTCTCCGGGAGAGGAAGCTTCCATTTGGAAAAGACAGAAGCAGGACATCTAGACACAGGAACATCCCACGTGGCTTTCCCTTCTGGCCCCTCTTTAAGCTATCGAAGGTTCTAAGAAGTGATAGCCAAGCATGTTTGGGCAGAGGCAGGTACACAGTGAAAGTACCTGTGATCCCACAGCCAATAAGGGCTGAGACAGAAGCAGCGCTGAAGAAAGAAAGCCAGTGTCTGCAGAGCACTTCTGCCGCCCTGTGCGCTCACTGGTGCTCTGCTTCGGGAAGGTCAGCTTGCTAATGCTTCCTGGATCTCGCTCTGTGGACCAGGCTGGCCTCGAACTCACAGAGATCCGCCTGGCTCTGCCTCCTGAGCGCTGGGATTAAAGGCGTGCGCCACCACTGTCTGGCGCTAATGCTTTTCTACAGACCTAATGTCATCACCAGTAATGCAGCTGGCTCTCTGGTGCTGCCGTGGGAATCAGGGAACAGTGACAGTCCCCTAGGTGCTCAGCATCTAGTGTTAGCTAACTGCCTTTTTCTCTTACAGGGCTGATGAAGGCATCCAGCCGGACCCTTACTATGGGCTGAAGTACCTCGGAGTGGGCAGAGGAGGCACTCTGGAGTTGCACGGACAGAAAAAGCTTTCCTGGACATTTCTAAACAAGACCCTTCGTCCTGGCGGCATGCAGGAGGGAGGATATTTTTTTGAAAGGAGCTGGGGCCACCGTGGAGTCATCGTTCATGTCATTGACCCCAAATCGGGCACCGTTGTCCATTCCGACCGGTAAGTTTGACTTTCTTTCATGTACTCACTTGTTCAGGATCTCTCCCAGCTTGGGGGGGGGGGGGCGGGGTGGAGCTTCAGTGGGGACTGGCATGCCGCATGAATGGCATGATGGGAGTCCTTCTCTGGAGAGGTGCCTTCTTTCCTAGGCCTTTGCTCAGTAAAGCTGAATGTAACACAAATGTGTGCAAGTACACACACACACACACACACACACACACACACACGCACACACACTATAGATTCATGTGGTGACAACTGGTGACAGAAATGTAAAAGTTATAGTGGACTATAGTGGAATAATAGAGAGGGACAAGCGGGGCCACTTTAGACAGGTGCTTGGGAAGTCAGTTCAGGGTTCAGCCTGTGAGCTAAGAACTGCAGGGTGAGCCTGTGTCAGGGAAAAGTTCAACACAAGAACAAAGGGCAGAAGGTGCCCAGAACACTGCACTTTTAGATGAGGAAGAGAGACTCAAAGGCAGACACACTCGGGGAGGGATGGAGGAGCAGAGGTACAGGCGGCAGGCAGGAGGTGGGTTTTACTTTAAGTGAGATGCAAAGCCATCTGAGGTCTCGAAGAAAGACATGATCTAATCGAAAAGAACATTCTGGTGATTGTGAAGAAAACGGGTGGATAGTAGAGGGCAAAAATGATGACTGGCGAGTGGTCCAGGTGAGAGGTGGAGGCGGGGATGCGTTGTCTGGTGGAGACAGAAGACTCGAGGGCACCTTGGGAGGCGGGATGGCAAGCCACTGGCTCCTTCATGTCTCGCCTTCCCTCCTTCTCTTTCCTTCTTCCGGGGTCTGCCTAAGTTGTGCAGAGCTGGACCTGCCCTCTGTCTCCTCAAGGTTCTTACGCTCCCGTCTAGAAAAGACCCCTGGAAGGACGCAGCCGGGCGGACAAGCAGAGACAGAGCTCTATGGCTGCAACTGCAGCGTCAGGGGCCCTCCTGGGAGCAGGTGCAAGAACCAGTATCCCACAGTTCAGCAGCAGTGTGGGGCCCGTCAGGCAGGGGCTAACGTGCTGGCAGGACAGGGGACAGTGGCAACAGGTGTTGAGCTGAGTGACAGCACACCTGCCGGCTGTACCTTCTTTGCTTGAAGAACGCTGGAGACCTCAGGGATCCCACAGCTGAAAGTCTGAGGGGAGATCAATAAACATAAACAAGCACAGGTTAAATTTACACGGGGAGTTTACCTGAAGGAGCAGGACCTGGGGTTGGCTCTCAGGTGACTGGGCTTTGATGGGTCAGAGAGAAGGCGGGGCTCCTGGAGGAGGAGGAGATGTGGCAATATGGGTCTTTGAGAAGGGTCGGCATTTGGGGGCAGGCTGGGGAGGTCTGGACTTCAGAAGTACCTTGGGACAGATGATCTGAATCTGCAGTTTGGGGATGCCTCTCCGGTTAGCACACAGTGGTGCTGTACTTTGTCTTTTTCAAAGTTTTCTTCGCTAGTCCCCCTGACTCGTTACTCTAGAGTCATTTTAGAACTTTTGCTTGCTAAGTCCCAGAGACAGAGCTCTTCCATTGTAAGTGTACAAAACCTTACATGGCTAGAACAAGGACCACACCAATACACAGGGCAGTGTGGATGGAGAAGGGCAGGAGGCCTCAACCCCGTACAAAGAACTACAGACAACTAAGGAATGCTAAGAGCAGGAGGAAAATGTCTTCTCTAGGGAAAAGCACGCCAACTGCTTACCTATCACCAAGCGGTCAGCCTTGAAAACAGACACCCAAGTAACATCATACAGACTGAGCAATTTACATTACATTTATATATTTAGACACACACACACACACGTACACATGTACACACACTGAACACACTTAAAGAAAAAGAGGATGTGAATTTGAATGAGACCAAGGTGGGGGATGTACATGGGAGGGATTGGAGGAATGAGAGGGAAGGGAGAAATGATGTAATTACATTATAATTTCAAAATTAAAACAATTATTAACAACAACAAAAACCCTCACGTGGAGTTGCCACTTTACATTAGTGATGCTGGAGCAATTGTCTTCCCTGCTGATTTCTCACTAGCAGGGTATAGTTGTTGGTTTTCAACATCTGTATCTCATGGAAACTTCACTCGTAAGAGGGTAGTTTGTCTTTGTCCACTTTGAGATGGTCAGTTTTAGCTGGGCATGGGGGTTGTGTCTGACATCCCAACTGCTTGGGAAGCTGAGAGAAGATGACTTGAACCCAGGAGTTCAAGGTCAGTCTGAGCAACATAATGGGATATTCTCCCCCATCTCAAAAAACAAAAACCGTAGTTGAGCCCCAGTGCAATGGCACATACCTGTAATTCCAGCCCTTAGAAGGCTGAGGAAGGGTCTCTTTCAGGTCCAGGTCAGACTCTGATATATTGTGAATTGTGGGCTGTCCTAGGCTATAGAGTGAGAACATGTCTCAATCTGTAACACACACACACACACACACACACACACACACACACACACACACACACACACACACCTGTAGTTAGAGATGATCAATTTTATAACATTGTTCCTGGAGTGACCCGACTATAATGTGTTATATACTCAAAAGCTTGTTTAAAAGGGTGAGTTGCTTGATTAGAATTCTTATATTAAAGTAAAATGTTTTTAAAAAGAGAACAGATGAGGGAAAGGCAGAAATGTAACAGTATTCACAATGATCATGATTCTATCACCACTGTAGTATGAAGCAGAGGTGACAGCTTAATGACTGAAATACACACGGAGTGCTCCAGGGAGGGAGACATGACGTGAGGCAGCCATGCCGTCCTTCCCAGGGACTGTGGAGGAGTTGCTTTGGTGTGATCAGAGATAGACACCCCTGCTGCTCTAAGTGTCTGGATCTGTTCCTCGTCCCCGTCCTTTCCAAGAGACATGAGCTACAATCCCCAGGAAGAAAGGGGACATGAAAAGCCTGAGCCCCAAGCGTGGGACTTAGTCTACATCCCAGAACCCCAGTTCTCCAGCTCTGTAGTTATTTCTGAGGCGTTTTACCCGATGAATGAACACTGTGGTCAGCTCAAATCCCTCCTTCTTGGGTGTCTCTGTGTGGCAAGCTGAACAGCCATACTTGCTTGCTCTTTGAAGAGGCTTCTTTGTTACAGACTCGGGCCCTCAAGGTCTGTGGACCGCATCTCGGTTGCTGAAACAGACGTGTGCTTGGGTCTCGGTATCCTTTCGACTGTCCACATCTTTACTCTCTCTACACTTTTTAGGTTTGACACCTACAGATCCAAGAAGGAGAGTGAACGACTGGTCCAGTATTTGAATGCGGTGCCTGATGGCAGGATCCTTTCTGTCGCAGTGAATGACGAAGGCTCTAGAAACCTGGATGACACAGCCCGGAAGGCAATGACCAAGCTGGGCAGCAAGCACTTCCTGCACCTTGGATTTAGGTACTGCCCCTAACTGGTATCTCCAGTGAACTGAAGCATGCCATACTAACCAAGGTGTATGTCTCCAGCTCCACCTGACTCTGAATCACAGCACAGAGGCATGCAGGCACACTGCTCCTCCACACTGGATGTAGTTGTGTCCAAAGGAAGCTCAGGTTTTCTTACAGGAACAGCCCACTATTGCAATGCACAGATTTCTCTATGGACTTACTTCTTCCATCAGTCATTTATAAGTACTGAGTGTGCCCTAAGGAAGAAAGGAGCAGTAAGAGTCCTGATGGGCAGCTAAGGTCTGTGTCCCCTTTCAAGGTTCCTATTGCCACTTGGGAACTGGCGGACAGTGTTTTAGGGATTATGCAAAGTGTCTCTACCCAGCCAAACACCTAAGGAAAGGGAGCCTTTTCGACAGGTTCTAGTGTGTGTCCTACTTGCTTTGGATTGTAGCATCATGCCTGATATTGGCATGTGCACACATTGACAACCTCAGAAAGCCATTTGGCACACAGAAACCACATCTATCTTTTGATCCGGTAAACCAGTTCTCGGCTTGGGGAAGGTTGAGATGATCTGTCCCATGGCTGTTTAAGATTGTGATTCCCATTCGTCAGCTCCTCAGATGTGGGCAAACTCAGAGATGATCCGAGCCTTTTCTAGCCTGCCAAGAAATTGAACTGGCGGCTGGGCAAAGATCCCCTGGGTGAGAAGGAACACCCCAGGTCCCAGGCTATGTTCTCTGGATGCAGCTTCTGGAAGGGAACCTGGTGGCAGGAAGCCAAGCTACCAATTATGGCAGGGATATCTTGGAATGGCAGGGCTTCTTGGTCAGCAAACGCCAAGCATGCTTTCATTTCACCACAGTATAAACCAAAAAGTCAGTTTATTAATTTACGATGGGAGGGAGAGGATTGTGAAAGAAGCAGCCTCAGCAGAGGAAGGTGGTAGGGGCTCATGGAGCCCGGGCCTGGCTCCTGATGTCTGGGTTTTGAATCTGCTGCACTGCCTCTGAGGTGTGACCACAGGCAAGTGACTCATCCTCTTTGCTTAATTCTTGCATCTGTAAAATAGGGTATCTCGGGCTCTATCTCAAAAGGGTGCTGGCTGGGAGAGGTTCCCGGGGATAATATGAGTAACACGGTTGTCACTCTGCCTGGCACGGTTAGTGATTGTTCTCTCCGCACAAACGAGAGCCGTTGGCACAGTGGGAACCTCCACATTTCATCCTGGCCCCAGCAAGCAGGAATTACACAGTCACCCCTCCTTTGTATGTTTGAGTGACAAGAGCTGAGCATCTAAAATTGGTAGATGTGCTGGGAATGGGACCCTTCATTTGTTTGTTCAGGAACTAGTGAGGAGGTATTGGTGGGACTCAACATGGCTGGGCCTGCTGAGCTTGCATGAGCAGAGGTAGATGGATGGTACCCATGAGAGAGTGTAAGATAGTGGGCAAGGAGAGTTGAGTGCAGGATCACAACTGGGAGGAGGCCAAGACAGTGCTGTGAAACCAGCGGCTCTAGAGGGGGAGCATGCGGCTCTCACAAGGAGTGAGGGAAGACTGAGCAGCGATGTGTATGAGAGGGGTGTGTGAGAGACAAGCCTGAAAGGTTGGCGTTGGAGGGTCAAGGGCTCTGTGCTGATAAGCTCCAAGGGCAAGGGGGAGCCAGTCAAAGATTTAAGTAAGAGCGTGCCATGGCTGAATCCTCAACCTCAGCTGAACATCGTTCAGCAATGTCTCCCCAAGACAAGAGGGCCAAGCAAAATCTAAAGCTACTCACACCAAGATCCTCTGCTTTGTCATAAAGAAGTATTTGCTGCATTCTCAGGCGATGGGAGAGTCTTCAGCAAGAGCCTGATTCTCAGAAGAAAGGCAGCCTGGTTTCACTGTTAAATTTTACGTGATGCAGGATCTTCCTAGAGAAACGGAAGCCATAAGAATCCAAATAGTTCAGCCTGAGTATTTTTGTGCTAAGTTTCATGAAGTGTAAAGAATAAATGAAAAAAATCTGATGAGTCTTTCTCGAATAAGCCAACTGTAGTGAATGAACTTAGAGCTCTTCCCAGAATCCCTTTTCATTCAGCTCTAGAGAGGGCACCTCTCTCATGGGGGTGAGGGCTTCAGACCCACTTCAGGGAGAAAAGTTAGTCATCTCTGCCATTTCCCAGTTCCCTTCATTATAGCATGTCCAATACACCAGGGTGTCGTATTTCAGGTGGAGTCCTTACCCCAGTCACTACATGTAACATGCTAGAAAGACAAAAACCACTAAGAAAATCTGCCTGTGAGCAGTACACACTCTCAAAGAGAAAGGGGTATGTGACTTTCCCAAACCATAAACCTTCCTCTCCTTCCCTCCCCATCACCAGGCCAACATACTTCATTCCTTTCTCAGATCCAAGGCAGGAGGCTAAGCGGCCAGTCACAGTGTCCTGTGCCGTTTTCCTTGAGTTCATCTTTCGGAGGCAATGGGCATGAGTGGAATCACCCCTGTTGGCACACCTTTCCAATGTTTGCTGCAGGATCTAACTGGGCTTGGCGGGCGGCATGGTTGGGTTGTTGGCTTGTTTGTTTAATTGTGATTCATGCCCATTCTTTGCCAGCATTGAGTCAAACCCTCTCCAGGGAGCAGATGCCCAGGCTAGCTGGCTGGTGAGGAAGCAGGCCCCTGTGCTTGCAAAGAAAGGTTTTATGGGGAGAAGAAGCCCATAGGTGGATGGTAAATTCCTCCAGCAGCTAAGGAGACTCAGCTCTCGGACTCTTCTTCACCCCGCCAGCCCGGAAGCAGGTTCCAGTGTGTGAAAAACCTGACTTCCTGTTGTTGTTTGCAGACACCCTTGGAGCTTCATCACTGTGAAAGGAAATCCCGCCTCTTCAGTAGAAGACCACATAGAATATCATGGTAATGAATGGTTGGTGAGAGGCCTGGTCCCCTCCAGTGTCTGCCTGACCAGAGGCTGTGGGTTGTGAGTGACTGGCTGCTCTTAGAACAAAGCTGCCCACCGGCAAGGCCCCAGCTGAGAGTCTGGGCTCTTCAGCCACGACACTATGAGGCAGTGGCAAAGGTCCATGGTGGAGCAAAGTAGATCTCTCCCTAGAATTTTAACATCTCCAAAGAAGTATTCCCTGACACAGAAAAGCTAAGAGCTGGGAGGAGGCCTCCAGAGGAACACTATGGACCAGATGTCATAGAAAGGTTTTGTTGCTGTTTGTTCATTTGTTTGAAGGCAGGGTCTCGTATAGCCTACATGGCCTCAATTTCAGTATATAGCAGAGAATGACCTCAAACTTCTGATCCTCCTGCCTCTACCTCCTGAGTGTTGAGATTACAGGTCTACATCCCCATGACTAGCTTATGTGGTGCTGGGCATAAATCGAGGGCTTTATGTGTGCTAGGCAAGCATCCATCATCTGAGCTCCATCCGCAGCCCTGGAGGGGGTCTTTATCATACAGCGTAGCCTCTCTGCCACACGTTGTTGGGGTGAGAGCCGCCAGTTCTAATCCCAAGGCAGACTCAGATCATGAGAAGTAACAGGCTCTCTCAATTCTCCATTTGTCAGAAGGCTGCAATTGAACTTTCAAAGCTGAAACACACAAAAGAAAAAGAAAATGGATGTAATCTCTTTCCAAATGGCAAGAATAATCTGATTAGGGGGTAAAATTCCTTGAGATGGTTCAAGAGCCATGAGTGAAAAACAAAAATCCACTGTGAACTGGACTTGGTAATGCACACTGGATGAAATCTCTAGAATTAAGAAGTGGAGGCAAGAAGATTAATTCAAAGTTATCCTTGACTACATAACTCAAGGCTAGCCTGGGCTACCTGAGGTCCAATCTCAAAACAAAACACATATTAAAAACAAAGATTTATGGGTGTGAGGGCCTCATCTCTGCTGTAAGGTCGGCATCGTCATGGAGTACCTACTCACTCAAGTGTCTGGTCTACTCTGACAGGTCACAGAGGCTCTGCTGCCGCCCGGGTTTTCAAGCTGTTCCAGACGGAGCATGGTGAACATTTCAATGTTTCTTCAACCAGCGAATGGGTTCAAGGTGAGGTGTTTGAGACAGGCTGGTAAAACCTAATGGTGGCTGCCCAGGCTAGGGATAGGAAGGACTTCTCTTATACCAGTAGGGACACATTACTAAGCATCAACTAAGAAATCCCAACTGAAGTTGTCCTTAATTAGTCAAGTCACATTGGTTGAGTTGTCAGCAAGCTTTCACCACTGGTTAAGATCTGTCTGTGTTGCTCCTCCACAGGGGCTTGTGGCTTTTAGTTTTTCATGTGCCAGATCATGGTGTTGACCGTAGAAGCTTTCGGGAAGCAGCCATGGTAGTGATGGGCTTTGGGGGCAGGTTTATGGATGGGTTTTTGTTTCTCTACATCTTACTCATTGCTTTTGTAAGAACAAGGAACCTATATTGCCTTTACAAAACGAAACAGTCAATAAGAGCGCTTTCCTGTCTGACCTTGTTTCTGCTTTCTGCCTAGATGTGGAATGGACAGAGTGGTTCAACCACGATAAGGTGTCTCAGAGCAAAGGTGGAGACAAAATTTCAGATCTCCGAGCAGCTTACCCAGGAAAAATCTGCACTCGACCTATTGACATACAGGTACCAACCTCACAGCCAGGGAGTCCACTAGGCTTTGCTTTGAAGAGGGCTCTGTGGGCCACAGCTTTTTCTTATCACTCAGGTGGTATGAATGTCTGTCTCCTCCTCTGAAGCAGATTGATTATACCAGTCCCACCTCAGAGACAAAGGTTCCTGTCTGTCCAAAGCTAAGACTCCAGCTCCTGCCTCTGAGTTCCTTATCTCTGTTGTTACTCTGCTTCTTCAGCCATGGCTGAGAGAGTTCCCGCTGCATGGGCCTGCTTGGCCCACCCAGCTCATGTCTGTTGATGTCCTTTGGGCCCTTGAGTACACAGTGGGAAGATAGGATTTGAAGTGTAGCCCATTCCCTCAGCCCTGCTCCCTACTAAGGTATATGGAAGTCAGCATTCAGAGTCTTCACAGGGTCTCCGCCCAGAGTCTGTTCTACCTGGAGGAGGAGGTGACCGCCACACTGGGCACACATTGAAACAAAAGATCCTCGCATATGCCCGTCTTTGCCCCTGTAGCTGCCCATTGCCTCTCACTTCCTCAGATCTCAGGGCTCTCATGAAGCCTCTCAATGGCTGTACCACCCCCACTGCCCAGGACTGCATCTGACATAGGCTCTGGGGTACCTGTTCCACATGGAAGTGATCGGGTTCTCTGGGGACAGGGTGGGACAGACATCTGTGGCCTCCAGAGCACTGGAGAAGGCCACGGGGAAGTAAAAGGCAGCAATGGGACTGTCATTGTCAACCCCACAGTAGCTGGCACAGAGATGGTGACCAGAAAAGTACTTCTGGAAGCCAGAAAGGTCTGACTTAGCTGAAAAGGTACCCCTCCACATCAGTGACAGCTGTGGGCTGTCTCCAGTGAAGAACCCACAGTGCAAGGTTTTGGGTGGTGAGTCTCCTCAGGGTGGACTCTGTATTTGGACCACCCTCAGAGTGAGTGTCCTTTTGCACCCCATGCCCTCGTTCTGCGTGCACAGTCTGGCTGTAGATGTCCATCAAATGATTTGACTTCATGGCTCAGTGCAAAACTAGGGGTCATAAATGTCCCCTCACGACCTGGTTCCATGAACTTACTGATGCCAGACATGAGTGTCTGAATGCCCTCTACAAAGTTTATTCAAAAACTTGAGGGAGGGGTTTGAGACAGGCTCTCACCTTGATCTCACTGTGTAGCCCAGAGCAGCACAGAGACACACCTGCTTCTGCTTCCTGAGTGCAGGGATTACAGGCAAGTGACACCCTGGTCTGCTCAAAATTATTTTAATTTACTGTTAACCATGATAATTTATTACTACGCATTTTATTATCTGCAAGCACGGCTAGTAATAATGTTTCTTTAAAGATGCCTGCCACTTAGCAATGATAGATTTTTTTTTAACTCTTCTTATCTAAGATTGGGGTCATTAAAAGAGAAAGCACTGTAATTAAGCAGTTCGTTTGAAATCATTACCGGGTTTTGTCCCATGATGAATATCCAGTTCTAATGGGTAATGATCCAAGGCCCATTGCTGTTGTCAATGTGACAGGGCTCCTGCTGAAGATGGAGCTGGCTCTGTGGGGTTCTGAGATCGGAGGAGCAGGGCTTGACAGTTGATGACTGGAACTTAGTGATGACTCCTTTGGGCATTAGTAGGTTCCCTTAGGGACAAGTTCACAACCTGGTCTCAGCTGCAGCAGAGATGATGGAAATTATGGCTGTGAATGTGACTTGGAAAAAGCTGGATTTGAATTGAATTTTGGCATGCATGTCTGGGAGACCTCCTTTCAAGCCAAAGACAAAGCTGACTTCATTAGGTCCAAATAACCTTTCCTAAAAAGTCTAGTGCTCCCCGCCGCCACCTGCCTCTCTCTCTCTCTCTCTCTCTCTCTCTCTCTCTCTCTCTCTCTCTCTCTCTCTCTCTCTCTCTCTCTGTGTGTGTGTGTGTGTGTGTGTGTGTGTCTCCCTCTCATTGGTGACACTTTCCTTCCTGATCCAAGCCTGTCTCCCTGTCTCCATGGTTTCTGTGCCAAAGATGGCCACAGTGCTATTCTAAATTGCATGTCTTTGAATGACAGTCATAGTCTGCAGAGGGACACACCCTGGCTTTGGGATGAGCCCCAGCTGGCAGAAACCACCCTCCTTTGAGCCTGTTCCTAAACCGTGTCCTGCCCTTGTAGCTTCTTGCTTGGCATCCCCACTCAACTTCAATCTCACTTTCAAGGATGCAGTGGGGGCTGGGGCAGGACATTTGAACAGAGGCCATTAGGCTGGGCACAGCTAAAAGCTGAAATGGGAGCAACTTTGACGATAAATGAATTGGGGCTTCATTTTCCACTCTGCCACTTACTGGCTCTTCTGGTGCTCATCTTTTTTCGAGCACCGTTTTTCCTTATCTCTAGAACCAACCACCACTTCATAATTCCACCATGAGGATGCAATGGATACCCACAAACATTTCGCTCTTTAGCTGAGAGACTGGATTCCAAACTTTCCTACCTGTTAGAATCACCTGGGCAGCTTTTAAAGTCCTGATGCCCAGGCCACAACCTCAACCCATCAAATCTCAGCCTTTGAGGGTTGAACCTGGGTACAGAGACTTGAAACTCCTGATGGAATATAAAAGGCCTTCTGGGCACCTATGGGTTGAACCAGCTCCTTTCATGGACTCATGGTGGCAGGATGGTCATAAGAAGGGCCATCTCTTAGGGTTTTAAGAGAGCCTGTGTGTGGTGGATGCTTTATAAATGTGCACACAATGATGAGCAATAAGTACTGTGAGGTGCATGCAGGCAAGGTGTTCCTGCTGCTAGATCACAAACTCAGCTGACTCTCTCCCCGAAATCAGGCCACTCCACCTCCATTCCAAGACTTAACACTGCTTTCTTATGACAAAACTCAAATAGACAACTGAGATAATAGTCCTGGGCTGTTGTAAATAGTTTTGCAGTGAGGAGAATTTTAGTCTCGTAAATATAAATTGTGGACATTAATCAGCGCTTTCCCTCTTCATAAAAACGTACCCTGACTCTGTAATTTCCATTCCATTCTCAGGCCACAACAATGGATGGAGTTGCCCTCAGCACTGAGGTTGTCTACAAAAATGGCCAAGATTACAGGTTTGCTTGCTACAATCGGGGCCGAGCCTGCCGCAGCTACCGAGTGCGATTCCTATGTGGAAAATCTGGTAAGCAAGCAGATATCCTGGCTCCTTGTTGGGTTAGAAATGCAACTGTGCTCCGATCTCTGACCTGGGTGCTATGTACTGTGAAATAGGATGGCTGGGTCAGCATGTTGCGTATCGAAGTGTCACTGAGTGGTCTAGGTACAAATGCAGAAGCAGCAAGACAGTCCCTGGAGTTGGAAGCAGACAGCAACACTCTGCCCTGTCATAAGCCTTTCTAGAAGGGGTGGGCATGATCCAGGAATGCAGTGTTGATGGACAGGGCTGACACAGACTTTCTGCTTCTTCTGGTGCTGTTATTTATTTCAAATCCAGTTCCCCAGGCAGTCCTCCTTAGAAAGGACTGGAAATGGCTGGTTTGTTCTGGAATCAGCATCTCCAGAAAGCAGTCATTAGGGATGTACTGGGAGTGGGGCGGGGGGCTTACAGCTACTGTAAATAACAGTGGAGAAGGTCTATATTTGTTTTACATCTTGGGCAAAGTGGGTGTGGTGAGGCAGGGCATTGAACACCAGCTCAGAAGTCAGTGGAAAATTCCTCTGCCCAGAGCTAATGAATGGGTCCTTTTTGGTTGGGTTTTTGTTGACTTCAAAAACCTGTAAGTACTGAGACTGCAATGGAGCGAGCCTGGTGATTTGGGTTTTGGAAGGGCACACCTGGCATTTACCGATCTCCAGAGGGGAGGGGAAGAGGTGGGCAGCCACATGTTTGCTGAGGGCAAAGGGCTGTATCTCAATCCTTCCTGTTTTGGGTTACAGTGAGGCCCAAGCTCACGGTCAGCATCGACACCAACGTAAACAGCACCATCCTGAGCCTGGTGGACAATGTGCAATCCTGGAGGCCTGGAGACACCCTGGTCGTCGCCAGCACGGACTACTCCATGTACCAGGCAGAAGAGTTCCAAGTGCTCAGCTGCAAAGCATGTGCCTCTACGCAGGTCAGAGTGGCAGGTAGGCACCTCCCTTCTGCCCAGGCTGCATGAATCTGGACACTGGTAGACTTCGAGTGAAAGGGAGATCTGTATCTGTGAGCTAGTCTCAGAATGCCTCGTAACAGAGAAAATGATGAGACTCTCACTGCAAGCATTTGTTCCGTTCTGATGCATCTACACGTTGTCCAGGCAGCCTAACTGATACCTGAAATAAATTCCCTTAAGAAGAAATGGCTATTTTGGCTCATGGTTTGTTAGCCCTGTTGTTCAGGGCAAGCAACTGGTGGAGGGAGTTGCTTATCTCATGGCCTCCAGGAAGCAAAGAAAGAGGAAGATGTTGGAGTCCCAGGATTCCCTTCAAAGTCGTGCAACCAGTGATCTAACTTCTTCCCATTAGGCTAGCCCTCATAGCATCCCAGGCCCATGGCAAAGCTTTCTTTAACTCATGGACCTTTGGGAGACACTATCCTAGCTCTAGCCTTAAGTTTTTCTAGCTCCAGGATGGAAGCTGGGCTCAGGTTGGCTCCATACTATTCTTATTCTTCCCGAGACACATTCTTCTCATGGCAGAGGTTGAGTGTGGTGGGAGAATGGAGAACTTCTAGGGCCTGGGTTTAGAACTGACTCACACTGGGCATACTAGCCTATGTCTAGGATTCTAGAACTTGGGAGAACAGGGACGGAATTTGAGGCCAGCCTGGGTTGTATAGAGAATTCCAGGCAAACCTGAGCGTTAAGGTTATATAATAACCTTATTTCAAAACAAAAGAAAACAAAATGAACTCAGAAAAATCAAACAAAACTGGCGTGCTCTGATGACAGTCTGTTGTCCAAAGCACAGGTCAGTACACAGCACAGCCCATGGTCAAGCTCAACATGAATGGCCAGAAGAGCCTACTTTTCTCACGGAGGTCGAAACAATAGAATGAACATTCGCTTGAAAATAATTTAGCCTACCTCAATACTTTAAATACCCTCTTTCCAACGCTTTCAAGTTTCCTTTTTTTCTTCTCCTGAATCTTAACTTACGTGCCCTATGTTTTATGTTTTATGATACTATCAGAGTTATAGATTGTTAGCAAAAGAGACTGTCTTAGTCAGTGTTCTATTGCTGTGAAGAGACACACGACCATGACAACTCTTATAAAGGAAAGTATTTAATTGGAGGCTTGCTTACAGGTCAGAGGTTTAGGCCATTATCATTTTGGTTGGAAGCATGACAACACACAGGCAGACATGGTGCTGGGAAGGTAGCTGAGAGCTCTACATCCGGGTTGGCAGGCAGCAGGAAGAGAAAAAGACACTGGGCCTGGCTCAAGCATTGACATCCCAAAGCCCACCCTCACTGATACATTTCCTCAAACAAGGCCACACCTCCTATTCCTTCTCAAATAGTGTCACTCCCTAATGACCAAGCATTCAAATATATGTGCCTATGGGGGCCATTCCTATTCGAACCACCACCAAGACCTTAAATATAATGTTGGTCAGTTGATCCTGGAAAATATGTATGTATATCTTTGCGTTGTAAGCAACAGAATCCAATTTGACTCTCTGAAACAAGAAAGAAACTGACTGACAGGCTGTTCACATCAGAGGAAAAAAAATAGATACTAAAGAACTAAGCTGCAAAGGACTCAGAGCAGGGCATCTTTGAGGGCCTGGGCAGCAGGAGGCAGTGGGCAACATCTTTAGGTATCACTGTCTTTAGGAAGCATGCTGAGTCCCTGGGACAGCATGCCACACAGCCACTGTCGAGGGAGAGGGCATCTGACTGGGCTGGTGACCTCTTGGAGAGGTCAGGACCTTCACCAGTAATCCTTAGACTGCCTCAAGTCCATAAAGAATCCTTTCTTTCTTTCCTTCCTTCTCTTTCTTTCTTTCTTTCTTTCTTTCAAGATTATTTTTATTTATTAGATATACAGTGTTATACCTGCATGTACACGTGCATGCCAGAAGAGGGCACCAGATCCCATTAAAGATGGTTGTGAGCCATCATGTGGTTGCTGGGAATTGAACTCAGGACCTCTGGAAGAGCAGCCAGTGCTCTTAACCTCTGAGCCATCTCTCCAGCCCAAAGAATCATTTCTTAAAGGAAAACCAAAGTGACCTGTTAAAAGGGAAGGAACTCAATACTGCATGTTCAGACTATCACATGCAATTTCCTGGGGAAATAATCTCAATCCTGATGAGAAAATTGAGCACTGAGAAGGCATATCCAGTATATTTCAAATGTCTAGTATTTTAGAAATAAGGCTTCAGAAACTGAAACTCAAAACAATCTTTTTTGGCCTCACTTTAGTAAAAGTGAGAAGTTGGGATGGAGTTCCATCTCCTGAGTTTGTTCTTGGGGGAAAATGGGCTCGTTTGTGTTGGGTGCCTGAGACAGCACACAGCCGGAAGCCCAAGGCACCAATTCTAGGACTAGAGCCTGCAAAGCACACCTTTTTAGTGAGATGCTAATTTGAGGGTATGACTAGAGAAAGAGAAGGAGGTAGCAGTGAACAGGTCAAGTGTAGATAGAGAAGTTTGCAAGGTAAGAGATCTCCTGTTCAAATGATAAGGTTTGAACCACTGCATTCTTCACATTCTTCAAGAAAGGCTTGGGGGCACCTTCTAAGTAAGTCCACATCAATCTGATACCCAAAAGAAAGAAATGAAGTGGAAAAAAAATCTGGGTGATAAAAGTCTAAGTAACAAAAGTAAAAGAAACAGGTAGGCAGAAATGGCTGACATAAGCCATACAGGTTATCTCAAGTTTTCTGGCAGCCAGAGCAGAGAAATTATCTGCATTCAGGAAAAAGGCGACAGACCTATAGGGCCACCCTTCTCTTAGCCCTAAGCTTGAGGAGTTTGCCTCACAGTCATCATCCACAGGACACAGCCCGGCCACATGAACTTGACACTACACAAACGTGCTTTGGGTGGGGGCGTTGGCGGTTTAACTCCTAATATTAGAAAGGGGTGAGATGTTGGGCATATTCTGTGAACACATTTCGCAAAAGGCATTTTTGGCTTTGTCTTGTTTGGCAGAGGCAAAAAAAATACAGACTCTGGAATCAGGCAACTAGTTATTAGCTGTTTCCCCACTCACTAATATGGCCCAGAATGGCCCCAACTCACAATCCTGCCTCCATCTCCCAAGTGCTAGGATCAAAGGCCCATGCTACTACGCCTAATTTGTTTCAATGACTATTAACACCAGCTACAATAATTCTTCTTCTTCTGCGTATGTGTGTTTAGTGTGCATATGTATATGGATGTTCACATGTGTTTGGGCACAGGTGGGGGGATGTGCATCTATGTGTGTGGTGGCCCAAAGTTCATACTGGGAGTCAGCCTCTATCATTCTCCTGCTTATTGACTGAGGTGGTCTCTCAGTGGAACCTAGAGCTTGCTGACACAGCCAGTCTGACCAGCTAGCTTTTCCAGGGACCTCCAGTCTCCACCTTCCGAGCCCTGGAATTGTAGGTGAGCTGCTGCCCCCAACCAGCACTTACACAGGTTCAGGAACTGAACTGAGTCTGCACACTTGTGCAGCAAGTGCTTTGACCGCTGAGCCACAACTGCAATGATTTAGTAGCTGATCCTCAGTATGGGAAGGATGGAACGGGTATGACTTATTAGAAATGGTCAGACCTTGTGTGCTTCAGTTCGCCAACTCTGCCGTTCGGGACCTGCAGGTCCATGGCGTTGTGGAGGAGAAAACAACTGCTGCCATCATGATTTTTCAAGTCTGGGGCAGCCTGCAGTCATCTTCTGGAGATCTCCATGGCTCCAGGTGTGGGGGTCACATCTGTGGATGATAGTGCGCCTTCCTCCCCTGAGGATGGGCAGGCACCCTAGGGTCTACCTTTGTGGGGACAGAAAGAAGAATGGGGCATTTTATCATCCACTTACCCAGCAGCTCCTGAGCATGTAACATCTGCCAGGCAGTTGCATCAGCCTTTTGGGTGCCATGGTGAGCAAGATGGGCACCATTCTCTGCCCCCGGGGAAGCTGCATCCCAGCCAGGAGAATGGCATCCATCAGAGAGTCTTAAAAATAAGACTCCAGGCATAATAATTACAAAAGAAGGATGCGGGAGAAGCTGGGCACAGGGAGAAGGGATTCAGCTCAGCTGGAGTAGGCACGGCGCTTGCCCTGAGTAATTCAAGATTAAGCAGGGAGCTGGGAGACGATGGCAAGGTGGCTAAGAAAGAGAAGTATTGTTAGAAAGGAAGTCATGTGAGCACACCGCCTGAGCAGGGGTGCTCCAGCCATGAGGAGGACAGGGAGGCTCCAGGGGAGACCATGAGAGCCCCTAGGATTGCAGAGGGGAGAGGAAGCTGCACAACCAGGAGCTTTGCTTGAGTGCACAGCAAGCCACTGATGTCCATGAGTCTGCTGGGTGTCCCCTAGCAGGGAAGAACTTCCCACGTCTGCATCTATAGGACACTTAGGTGAAGATCACTAATGGGACAGCGAATGACAGCATCCTGAAATGTCAGGTGCCCGCTTGGCTGATCATTTGAGCTGATGTCACTTCTTGTGGCTCCAGGTAGCATCTAGCTATCCAGGATGGAGGAAGCCTGACTTCCAGCCCTTGCTGAAAGTAGAAGTAGGAGCTCCCCTAGGTCTGAGCAGCCTAGACCTCACCTGAACTCCAAAAAAGAGCATCCTAAGGGCCATAGAGGAGATCTCACTTTGAACAGGTCCCAACAGGGCAGCTGTGGATTCCAAAGTAACCCTGAGATTGAAGGACCCATGAGATGACAGACTCACACATGGGGGTCCATGCTAAGGTCTACTATTCCTGACAGCATGTTACTGACCCAACCAACAATTCACGAATGTGCTCAGGCTAGACCAAGAGTGTCAGGGGGCCTCTTGGGGGACCAAGTTCCAAAGGGTGGAAGTATGAGTGGAGACAATGCTAGACTTCCTTCACGGTTCCTCCCAGTCCTTGCTTTGGCACTGAAGGATTCTGCTTCAGCCTCACACCCAGCCTCCCACTGCCTATTAGGAGTGGACCATCCACTCTGCTCGGAAGCTTTGTGTCCTCATGGAAACAGCTCCTTCCTTTTGGTAAGTAGTGTCACAAAAGCCCCAGGTGGGGATGAGTATGCATGCATGTCTGTCCGGATGTCTTTCCTGAGGAGGCACCCATTGTTCCCCTTCCCTGCTCTCCATCCCCCACTAACACAGAGTGCCAACTCCCCCTGCCCACCCCCCATCTGCACCTGAGTTCTTCCCCCACCTGCTGCGTTCTGCTAGGGTCACCTCCTCCGTCTGCTGTAGAGAGGGACACATTCTTCCTGGACCCTCCTCCTCCTCCGTCTGCTGTAGAGAGGGACACATTCTTCCTGGACCCTCCTTCCTCCTAATTCCAGAAAACAACTCTCTTTGCATTTTAAAGGTTTGCTGATGAGAAACATATGGGGGTGACAAATATATGAATCGTCTAAAAAATATTTTTCAAAATTCTGCCAACTGTAGTGTGATTCCCAGCACCTCTGATGTGGCCATATCAGTTGAACTCTCCCCCTTGGTTTTCTTGTCCCCCCTTTTCAATGTCACCTTCCCACTGTGCCTTATAAACACCTCCACACCTTTAACTCCTCCCACCCAGAATGAGTGCCATTTCCCACAACATTCCAGAACTTTACAGGTTCACCTGTCCCTTCTTTGTGAGACCCTCAGCTTCTGGGGGTTCTTGTTTTAAGTGTGAAGCTGAAGAGGAGACTTAGGTTGTAAAAATCAAATGTCTAATTCCACGATTTCCAATGTGGCCACCACCAGCCACAGGTGGCTACTTCCATTAAATTGAAGTTAAATAAAGTTTCACCCCGTTCCTTCCAGTAGACAGATTTCTAAGTATGGAAGCCACATGGAATCCATTGTTACAGGCTGTCCTTGTGGGTGGCGCTGGTGTAGACTAAGCAAGTCAGAATCTTTCAAACTCTCAGCTTGAGTATGAGAAGGACCGTCCACTTCCCCCGACTCTCTGGGTTCTATTGGGCCTAGCCTACAAGTACCTTGGTGTCTGTCCCCTAGAGAAGGTGTTCATTCTCCTCTTGTGCTTGTGGTATCTGCTTCTGTGCTTGTCCTGTGGAGGTTTGCAGAGTATGGTATTAGGGTGCCTGTGGATAAACACAGGAAAATACCAATGTTTAGAGCCCTTCATTGCCCCAGGTCCCCTCCCTCTTTCCTAGTGTGCCCAAGGCTCTTTTAGATCATTTGGGACAATTCTGACCTGGTCAGCTTGCACGTGTGAATGCTGTGAGAAGGAGGGGAAGTGGAGAGAGGTGGGAGAACCCCACATCAGGAAGGGATGAAAGGAGTCAGACACACCGCTTCCCTGGGATTGCGGTTGGGAGTGGCCTGTGAAAGTAACAAGGAGAGATAAGTGACCTCACTGTGGACAGCAGCAACGTGGTAAAGGTTCTGATAAGGAGCCTCGCTGCAGGGGAGGGAGGCGGCTGTGACTGCCAAATTCCTGCCGTGTTCAGAAGGACCTGCATTTCCTTAGTCCGTGGGAGTCTGATAAACACAAGCCTTCTATCTACCTGAGGTGTTCATGCCTCCCTTCCTCCGTGGAACAAAGGAAGCTCTGAAACCAGCTGTTCGTCAGTTCCTGTCCCTGGTGGAGCTCTGGAGACAATAGCCCTGACAACTGCCGCGTCATTTCTGTCACACTGGCCTCCAACCATGTGTCCAGGGCTGTTGGAGCACATTCTGTGGATTAACTAACTTAATGATCTAGCTACTTTGGGGGATGTGAGCTATTTTTATCTCTGCTTTATAGATGAAGGGTCCAAGGTTCAGGGAGTTTAAACCACAGGCTCCAGGACTCTTCTGTAAACTGAGTCACCCAGCCTGGCTCAGAGCCATGTGGAAAACAACTGTCTTGGATAGAGGCAGCCAGGTGGATGGGAACTCCAAGAATCAGAGAGCAAAGGCCCTCAGGAGGCAAGACCAGCCAGCATGGTGGGAACTAAAGAAGATGTGTGGGGATGAAGGTGATGTGCCTGCCAGGAGCCAGGGTTTCTGCTCCATCCAGCTTGGACCATTAGATGGGGCAGGGCTAGTGTGACTCACAGTGCCATCTATTCCCAAAACAAGTCTAGCCCTCTGGGAAGCCAGCTCTCTGCTGTACCTCTCAGGACCCCATGGAATGCCCATCACCTGCCTTGACCCTTTCAAAGGCAGTGGCAGTCAATTCTTCTACTAAACCCCTCACACAAACCCCAAATTGTCTTGCTTGGTTGAGAAATCCATTGACAGTTTCCCTGGGCATTGTCAGTAACACTGTCCTTTGGGGTGTCTGCTAGGGAAGGTTAGCTCTGGGTCCAGCATGGCTGGAGGCCTGAGACCTAGAAGACCAGGGTCCCAGATGCTCTTGGAGACAGATACCTACCTGTGTAAGAAGGTCCAGTTCTCTGCATATTGAGCTGAGGTGGCTTGGGAGAGCAGACAGAAGAGCAGAGGTTCTCCGCTGACAAAGGAAAGAGAGAAGGAAGATGTGTCTAGACAGAAGTAGACACGTAATTGGTCCCCCAGCAAGATGCATGTGAGGACTGTGCAAGGTCTGCAGACTACCATGCAGGTCTAACACATGTGAGGGGCAGAAGATAGGATGGAGGCCAGTTGGACAGACCTCTCCCCTCTGGGAAAGGTCTAGCTAGCGTGGACCGACAGGGCACTCTGGGAGGGGCTCAAGGCCCTGTGACCTAGGACAGCATGAGCTGGAATGGAAGGAACAGCAGTGGGAGGGTGGCTGTTCAGTCCTTGAAGAGATGCCGCAGGAGTGTGCATCGTAAAAAAGGACACAGAGATACAGGGACTTGCACAGCCCTGGAGGTCAGAGTCGAGGGTATGTGGGAAATAAACAAGTTCTAGAAAGAGGGACCTCTCACCCTTCATGAAGCATCATCCTCAAGTCACGGGAGAAAGTCGTCACACAGCAGTGGCTGTGCTGGAGAAGGCCCAGGCTCACAGCACTCCTTCAGCCCCCAGAACCACCATCCAGTGGTAAAGAGAAACAGCCTCCCTATTGTACCCTGACAGTCTTATCCCCCACATCCTGCTCCAGGCTCACCAATGTCTAACTTCCAGATCTTCACGAGGAGCTCGAAAGGCTACCTTAAGGGCGGCAGAAAGCTCTCTGTCACCGCACCACACTTAGAGACGTCCTGCGCCATCTTCTAGAATGCCTCTTTCCTTTTCAGCCACCACGCAGGTTCCATGTTTCCTCCGCCTGGCTTTCTGAAGCCAGTGTCCCTCAGAAGCCATGCACACCACTCTCAGAGACAGACTTTGCCCTTTACACCTGGGAAGGCCCTGTGACTAGCTGGTTTGTGAAGGCCTCAGAACCTACAGGCAGGGAGATCAACCAGGGATAGAAGCAGAGGCTTCTACATAAATGTCCAGAGGACCTTAAGGCAGTAAAGACACGTGGCCCGTGACCCAAACCAAAAGCCATGGTGGGTTCAAGGGAGGAAGAGGCCCAGCAGTCTGTAGTGAACTTGTTTCCAATTATCTCCTCTAGTGATGTCAGACTCTGTGTGGAACAGTTGGAAGGTGGTAAAACCTAATGGAAGGCTTAAGTTCATTAGGGATATGTTCCAGAGGAAGGCTACGGGTGACTGGTCTCCCCCTTTCTCTGTTTTATTACTGACCACAAAGTAACTGGATAGTTTGTGTCATCACGGGCCCAAGCAACACAGCCCACAGGTCATGACTTGAAATCTACGAAGCTATGAACTGAGATAAACCTTTCTGCGTTCTAAATTGATTCATCCCTGGTATTGATTATAGTAACAGAAAGTTGACTGACTCTCTGCCTGGGACTCTTAAGGACTCTGTGGTAGGCCGAATCTATGTTGTGACCCTTGGTTCCTGTGACTGTTGCCTCACGTGGCAGAAAGGACTTACGATTCTGACTAGATTAAAGTTCTGGAAGTGGGCGAGTGTCCTGGGTTATGTGGGTGGGGCCGACGTAATTACAAAGGTTATCAAATGAGAGGGATTAAGGAAGATTAGAGAGGAGAAAGCACTGGAAAGTCAGAAGCAGATGGAGCGATAGAAGATGGGGGGGGGGGGTCACAAACCCAGGAGTAAAGGTGACCACTGGAATCTGAAAAAGGCCCGGAACAGTTTCTATGTGGCACCTTCTTTTTTTATTTATTTAAGAAAAATTTTTTATTCATTTTACATACTAACCACAGATCCCCCTCTCATCCCTTCTCCTGCTCTCTCCCCAGCCTCCCCCACCCACCCACCCTCCATCCCCTCCTCCAGAAGGTTAAGGCCTCCTGTGGGGAGGCAGCAAAGCCTGATACATTCAGTTGAGGCAGGACCAAGCCCCTCCCCCCTGCCTCAAGGCTGAGCAAGGCGTCCCACCGTAGGAAATGGGCTCCAGAAAGCCAGCTCATGCACCAGGGGTAGATCCTGATCCCACTGTGTGGCACCTTAAGAAAGCAGCCCTTCCAACACCTTGACTGGCCCCAGGAAATTAATTTCGGACATCTAACCTCCGGGACCATACAAAATAAACCTGTGGTAATTTGTCACAGATGCAATAGAAAACACATGCCATTCCCTTGCCTGGAGCTGTTTTCTCAGCTTCGGCATACACCAATGTCCTATTGCTTCAAAGAAACCACTGTCTCACTGAGTCGGCAGAATTCTAAAACCATAGGCTGCCTTGACAATTCTGCTAGCTCCCAGGATGTGTGCCAAGTGAAGGGGAGGGCAGAGGTCAGCTCTTCCTGTGGATGCGAAAGCTGAGGAAGGCCACTGTGGTGGGTATGGCTAATTTTAACCGTGGCCTTCACACATGGACACTCGTGGTATCTCAGGGCCAAGGCAAGGGCCTCCTTGATCAAGTCAAGGTCGGAGTGAAAGCCAAGGGGTGTAGGTGGTGTGGTTTGGGCTGGAAGTCCACATGGGAGAGTGGTGCTCTTTGTAATTGCACCCTCAAGTGAAACAGAAAATATCTACAAGCCCTGTCAGCCATTTCAGTGAGGAGCCTGTCTTAAGCTGTGTTTTCTGCACAGATGGAGGGAGAGGGGATCGGAGGGTAACACTACAAGAATTTGGCTAGAAAGCGGGTGAGGGATAGAATGGACAGAACACAGGGTCAAGGATTCAGACCACACAGGACTGAGACTGGAGAAAGTGTGGGAGGGTGTTTGGTTTGTTAGATTTTTCTCAAGGATGGCAGGGCCTGGGGAAGCTTGAGGGTAGAAAGCATAAGAAATGCAGATGAAGGATGAGATGGCTGAACTGGAAAGGACTGCCAGCTGGAGCCAACGCCTCTGAACGTGCCCCAGTTCATGGCTAGCATCGTGGGCCAGGAGAGTGCCTCCTCTGCGGGATGAAGTCAGCACAGAGTAGGGTGCAAGTTCTTCCCCTCGGCTCCACGTGGTGCCACAGGGGCATGTGTGCAAGCCCACGGCTCTGGACACAGGAACAAAAGCCTGCTCTTTCTCAAGCACCAAGCTGTGGATGTACCTTCCATAAGGCTGTTGAGAGCAGAGCATGGGTTTGCCCTGCTCTGAAGTGGTGATCTGAACGGGAAAGGTTTGTTTTATCCTAAGAATTGCAGCTGGAGGAGAGATACAGTGGAAACGCTGAGGAGACTGGGTCTCTCTCTCTCTCTCTCTCTCTCTCTCTCTCTCTCTCTCTCTCTCTCTCTCTCTCTCTCTCTCTCTGCTCTGCCATCCTGCCATCTCTAGGCCATGACTTTCCTCTGCTGGGTGAGGTTGACCCACCAGGCTAGAGATCGAGAGGCAACTCAAGGCTATACCTGGCACTTTTACCTAGATCCTATGGCCACACCTCACTGTAGGGAGGTGAGGGAGCAGAGCTCCCCGGGGAAGCCCTGTGTCAGATGAACCACGGCAGAGTCTAGCTCTGAAAATCAGAAGAAGAGTAAATATTACCGGACAAGTAGCCACATCTGTGATGGTCTTAAGACCTAAGCATGAGTAGGTAGCTATGAACTGTAGCTCCACTCCTGGGCATGTGACTATACCTACCTGAGCTTTGTTCTTCTGTATCATGGGAACAAGGACCTTGGGGCCCGCCATGAGTGAGGGCCTGGTGAAGAGCAAGCTACAGCTTTGGGAGTACAGGATGGGAGCATGGTGGGCATGCTACACCTGCCATTCTGCTTCCTCGCCCCTCTTGTGCCCTAGGGAAGCCACAGTACCTACATATTGGGGAGGAGATTGATGGCGTGGACATGCGGGCTGAGGTCGGGCTCCTGACTCGGAACATTGTGGTGATGGGTGAGATGGAGGACCAGTGCTACCCCTACAGCAGCCACATCTGTGACTTCTTTGACTTCGATACCTTTGGGGGTCACATCAAGGTAGGAATCTGCCTGGCTGAGGCTCTTAGCCCTACAGGAGGGTACCGAAGGTTCCAGCTGTGGACAAGGTTCCAGCTGTGGACAGAGACTCATAGGAGGAAAGGGGATAGTGGAGCAGGGGGTGGGAAGAGACATGCACCCTTAGGAGATGTCTACCTACCAATGATAGGCAGTTGTACTTGTGGGAGATGATGGAACCAGCCAAGGACCTCTGATGAGGCCACATACAGCACTGTGACTACTTCATTGGCTCTGCCCGGTCTTCATTATTTACCCTTTGTCATTTCTTAATTTTTGTTTTTGTTAGTGTTTTTATATTGCTTTTTTTTTTTTTCTTTTTAAAGACAAGCTGCCACTATGCAGCCCAGGCTGACATCCAATTTAAGATTTTTCTGCCTTGGTCTCCCCAAGTACTGAGATGACAAATGTGTAGCACCATGCCCACTTTCCTGAAAATTTCTTACAAGAATTTAGTACTCCCCCCGCCATCTCACACACACACACACACACACACACACACACACACACACACACACACACAAAAAAAAAAAAAAAAAAAAAAAAAAAACACAAAAAAACAAACCAACAAAAAACATACCCTCAATAGATTCATTATAAGACAGACCAAACAACCAGCAGGGAGCAGGGAGCAGGGTGTGCAGCAAGAAGTAGGGAGGTGCAGCATTGAACTTACCTGGTCCTGGCAGAGTCCAGAACAGTGATTCTCAACCTGTGGGTCATGACCCCTTTGGGGTTCCAAAGACCCTTTCATAGGGGTCGAATATCAGATATCCTGCACATCAGATATTTACACTGTGATTCATAACAGTAGCAAAATTACAGTTAAGAACTAGCAATGAAAATAATTGTATGGTTGGGGGTCAGCACAAGAAGAAGAACTGTATTAAAGGGTCGCAGCATTAGGAAGGTTGAGAAGCACTGCTCTAGAAAGACAGCCGCACATAGCGGCAGGTCTCTCAAAGCCGTCAGAAGCAACCCAGTTCACACTCTCCTAGTAGCCAACTCAAAGAGGAATTTCTTTATCTCCACAAACTGCCTTTATCAGGCCTGGTAAATAGTCCAAGAAACATAGACGTCCTCCATGTTCTTCTGCGTTCCTCATGTGGTTATTGGTTTCAATGCCAACAGCATTAAAACAGGTTTTGTAAAAAAGAGTTCTCTTGAGGTTAAAATCACGTGCTATAAGAGTAATTCTTTTTAATAATGTAAACAAGGATGATGAAAGGAAACAGTTCCCAATGGGAGCTCTGCTGACCTTTTCAGTGGGGAGAGTCTTGTGGTGCAGATCTATGTTTTTAGGAATTCTAGAGTCTCCAGTCCCCAGTCCGTGAGCACTTTCTGGCAACTGTCACCATGTACCCAAGAACATAGTGAGATCCAGAGGAAACGGTAGTTTTCTGTCGCACAAGCTACTGTAGCCCCTCCCAATCTTGAGAATGGACCTGAGTCCCCAGACCCTCTTGCCCACGAAGCAGAAACTAGACTCAGAATCATTCTCAACACAGCTCTCCAGGCATTGGCTGCTGGGCTGTCGTTCCAGGTGAATCTAAGGGGAATGGTCTGCACATCAAACTCCAGCTCCCCGGTAGGAACTGGCAGAGATTACTTCTGACACAAATCATTCCAGACTCGGCTTTCTGCTGAGCTCCTGGATTGCACACATCCTCTGGCCAAGCAGTTCCCCTGAGCACATCCAGGAGCAGCCTTGCGCTGTGACCACCTGCCACTCATATGCATGCCCCCCCAGGGCAGAGGCTCAGGATATCTCCAGAGTCAGCACCCCCTTCCTTCCCAGGAGAAGGTTTCACACCGTAAACAATGACACTCTGAGTCCACCACTCTCCAGCATCCTAGGGCGTGTTTCCTGTCATCCCCACCCCGTAAGCATATGTCTTCCTCATGGGTGGCTATGGAGATGGTAAAGGAAGACCAAAACAAGTCTAGCTATTGTCCTGGGCACTTCCAATCCAAAGAGTCCATTATCCTGCAGCATCTTGTAAAGCCTTGCTGGACTCCCGTAGTGTAAGAAGAGCCGGGCATCCTCATCCATGTGTACAGAGCCTCTGATTTACTGAGTACCCAGGAGGTACTCTGTGACAAAACACTGGGAAGGTAATACCTCTGTCCTCTGGGGATGCAGGCATGGGCTAGGGGGATCAAGGGCTGCCTGGGGGCTCTTTTAACTTTCACTCTCCTGTTGCAGTTTGCTCTGGGATTTAAAGCAGCCCACTTGGAGGGTGTGGAGCTAAAGTACATGGGGCAGCAGCTGGTAGGCCAGTACCCAATTCACTTCCACCTGGCTGGAGATTTGGATGAACTGGGAGGCTATGACCCACCTACGTACATCAGGGACCTCTCCATCCACCACACATTCTCCCGCTGCGTCACTGTCCATGGCTCCAATGGCCTGTTGGTAAGTGCCTGCTGGAAGGGTATCCTATCTAGGAACTTAGGGTGTGTGTGTGTGGGGGGGGGGGAGATCTTGTGCTGTGCTTTCTCACCTACTTCCGGTGAGAAGTTGGACAAACTACTGAATCAGTCAGGTCTTCCATTTCCTCCCTGAGCTCTGCAGAACACAGTGTTACCTTTTAGTTGGCTTGGGTAGAGGATGAGAGTGAAACATTCCTGGTTGTATTATCCTAGCAGCCCATCTTCAGAGCAGGGAATCCAGGTATTGCTACAAAACAGGCTGGCTTTGGGGAACTGAGCAGGCATGCAGGATACTCACCAGGACAGAATGGAGAGCCAACCCTTCAGTGAGATACAGACTTCTGGAGCTGGCATGGGGGCATCCCCAGGAGTCTGTGTCAATTCAGTTAGGTGGAGGAATCAAGAGACTTGTAGTAGGAAAGGGAAGACAGTGAGTTAAGGCACCCTATTACCCCCAGATCTGGCCTGGAATAATTAGATGAGTCAGTGATACCCACAGTAGAGTCAGGGTCTTAGAAGAGAACCCTGGAGAGCTTTGCCCAAACCAGCAAATCTGTGCAACACTGTAAACTCCCAGGAATGTCAGCTGCCAAGTTGGGAAGGAGCATCTCTCAGCTCCCTTGTTATACAGCTACAGCACAGTTGAGGTGCCAGCTACAATCTTAATCTGGTGGCCCTTCAGGGGTCTACCACCACTCAGTTCTGAGCTGTGCTTGATAGATCTGGAGGCACAGCCTTGGAGCAGCCTTTCCAAGATGGAATCAAATTGCACTGCTTGCCATCTAGACGGTGTCCAGGTCTCTGGTTCTCTGAGCCAAGCAGGCAGCAGCCATATCCCAGGCAGACCTGAAGTTTTACAGATTGGCTTTGAATGCTCTCGGAATGTGAATTTGTACGCCTTCCAGAAGGCTGCTGTGGGAGCTGGCCTTTCACACGGATGTGCGTTCCTTTGCTGCCTGCATTGAAGGGTTTACTAGTGGGTGACTACTTTTTGGGGAGAGAGTTCAGCTGAAAGAACCAAAAGAGGCAATATAGAGACAAAGGTGTGATTATGGTTTAGACTGTAGAGGCCATGGGGACGGCGGGGGATGGGAGTGGTTTGGTCAGAGGTGGTGGATCCCAGACAAGTAGATGCCAGCTCACTAGAAAGAAGGGCCCCTAGCTGTATGGAGCCGAGAGGTGTCTCAGCACCCTGCAGGTCCCGAAGTGTCTAGGGGGCCTGCTCACAGCTCTTCCCTGTCTTCTGCCTGTGCACCCCGATCCTTGGGAGTCAGCTTCCTTCATCCTCAGCCTGACTCGGGCAGCACCCCCTTCCTCTCACTTTTTTTAAAAAAAAGATTGTTTTATTTTATGTGTATGAATCTTTACATGGAATGTGTGTGTGTGTGTATATATATATATATATATATATATATATATATATATATATATATATATATATATATATATATCATGTGCCTGCCTGGTACCCACAAAAGTCTGATAAAGGCATGAGATCCCTGGAACCTGGGTGCTAGGAACCGAACCTGAGTCCTCTACAAGACCAACAAGTGCTCTTAACCACTGAGCCACCTCTCCAGCTCCTTCTACTTCAACGTTTAAACCAATTCCCTCTTCTGACAAAAATACAAGCCCTTCGACTCCTGCTTGTCTCTGAGTTTTGGGGACAGCTTTCAGCAATACGACCCTAAAATGCCACTAAGTTTAGCAAACCTCTGTCCTTCTCTCGGCTCATGCGTCTCTTTGCTCTTTCCCTGTGTCAGTGTTGTGGGTCTCAGCAGAAGCCCAAAAGTCAAGAGCATAGAGTCACAGGAACTGATGGAAACGTCCTGGGCCTCGGTTTCCTCCAGTGCATAGTGAAAATGCTGATAGAGTCAGCTTCAAAGGGTTGTTGCGAGGGTGAAACCAGATAACACAAGTGATGCGCTTCGAGAGAACAGTAAATAGCAGTAGCGCTGTGTGCCGCTGCGTCTCTATGTGTTCTGTGGAAACATCTCTGCTTCCGGGAGATAGCAGCATATGCCCCCACCAAAAAGTAGGGCTGGTGTAGTTAGATGCTCTTGGCAAAAACTGAGTGAATGTACTCCCTCCCTGACACTTTGAAAAGTCCCAATGCATGCTCACCTAGGAAGGGTCTTCAGTAAAACCTCACCAGATTGATTGATCTGTTAGCAATGCCTGCCCTCATCTGGTCACAAAGCCTCTTTCTCACACTGCTTTCCCAGCTTACTAAGTCACTGTTCTGAGTCCGTAGAGTGAGGCTGTGGTAATATCTCCTGTGATAGTAACATTGTTGAGGGTGTCCTTCTGACAATGTAGCATGGAGCACTACCAGGCTCCAAGGTGCTGGCAGGTGCAGAGAGGAAGGAGCCTCTGTGCACACTAGCCTCAAGATGCTAGCAGGTGTAGTAGGGTGAAGAATTTCCCCCAAGGAGAGGCTCTACATACACTCTCTGCAAGGCCACAGGGAAATGGGCTCAGTGCATCTTCATGGGTACTTCAGGCTCTAAGGCAGGACCTTGACCAATCCTAGGACGGCAATCAATACATTCCTGGCCTGCAGCAGAAGGTACAAAAGACTCCAGTGTGAGTTCTGCTCTCTTCTATCTCCTTTCTTTAAGCCAGGGAGACAGAGCCAAGAAAGTACATCCTTTCCCACCTGGGGACTTGCTCACAGTTTATCTTTATTATAAACGACGGCGGTATGAAATCAAGATGTCTCCAGCAGGTTGCAACTGCTTTCGCGCAGGCTCTGCCATGTACGGCTCTGTGTGCCAGCCGATCCACTCAGTCCCCAGGCTCTCTACCTTGGGGGCCACACCCTTCTCTTGGCATTCTAGTAAAGATATCTGGAGCTCATGATGGGAAATGCAGCATCTCCTCTGCCAGCTGCACAGCCCTGCGGATTGTGGGAGAGGCTTCCATTTTCTCTGGCTCACCCCTTCTCTGGTGTCTTTGAACGTGTTCTCTCACTCGTCAAGGTGTGTGGCTGCTGTCTTCTTTCCTCTCCACCTGAGCCCAGATGGAGGACCCAGATTTTCTTTCCTTTTCGCCAAAGCTACCTTGGTCCAGGGCTCCACTGGGAAACCGAGGTACAGGAAAGGAGGCTAGAGAACATTCCAGATCAGAGCAGAAATTGACAACGTGGAAGGGAACAGCAGGTCCCTCTGGTCTCACTGCCCCTTTCCAGCTCACATGCTTTCTCTCAGGCAGCACCCTGACCTTATGAGCTCTGCCTCTCTTTATCCTCGCCGGCCCCCCACCCCTTCCTACCTCCCCTGCACAGCCTTGGAAGCATTCTTTCCCTTTTTAGGTAGTGTTTTGTCCTGTTTCCTCTCTCAACTTCTATTTGCATATTCAAAAACTCATTAAGAACTGCAAAACAAATGACCTTTGCATGTGCTCCAAGGCCAGCTCCTCCTCAGGAATTTTATTTTTAAATTTTTTATAATGGCAGAAGCTTGGAAATAAATTTTCTCTTTAAAATGACTGAATTTGATGTGAGGCTTCTTGCTGATGTGTGTGTGTGTATACACATACATACACACACACACACACACACACACACACACACACACACACACACACACAATACCCACCCTAGACTTCAGAAGTAAGTAGCATCCTGTTTGGTACCAGGAGCCCCTTGAGAGTGCCAAAACCCTTCATTTCAAGTCCCAGTATAGAGTGGCCTGGTATTTGCAAAGAACCTGTTCACATACTTCTTCATGCTTTAAATCACCTCTACATGGTTTACGTCGCCATGTAAATGCCTAATAAACAGTTGGCATCCTATATTGTTTGGGGAACAAAGCCAAGGGGAAAGAGACTGTACATGTTCCTCACAGGCAGTTTTTTAAAGAAACACTTCTGGTCTGAGCTTGATGGAAGCTATAGTGGCATCCTGCACATCCAGAGAGTCAACCGATCACTAATTTCTGCTTGTGCTCACTTAATTGAGGCATCGTTCTTCTTAGAACATCCAGGTTGTTGATGGAAGCCAGTTCAGACTGGGGTGACCACAGAATATCTTGACACACACAGAACAGTCTTTGAACCTAGTGCTGCTCACTGCTAGTCGCCCCTAGGGCTAGCAACGCCCCGCCCCCACCACCAATGACAACTAAATCGAGGGTCATACTAGTTGAAACAATAGCTGACAGCTGTTTCTGAGTCTTTCATATTTTCTCCTTTACAATCTCGTGCCCAGACCCTACGACCAACAGTAAAAGACCTAAAACAGCTTCCAGGAATCATGAACTGCTATCAACAGGAAAGAAAGGGAAATATAGTTTTAGTTTTCTCAATGAATGGCAGGGGTTACACATTGTTTCTGGTTAGCATACAAGGACAGCCCCAGTGAGAGAGAGAGAGAGAGACAGAGAAACAGAGAGAGAGAGAGAAAAACAGACAGAGAGAGAAAGAGAACATTTACTTTGCTGATATGTCTATCTGTATGCATCCATCATCTACCTAGCTGCCTATCTCTATTTTCCAATCCATCTATTCATGCAACCACTATCTGTTTGCTATTTACCTACCTACCTACCTATCTACCTACCTACCTATCTACCTAGCATCTGTAGCTATTTCTCTATGTACACACTATCACTATCTATCTTTCTATCTATCTATCTATCTATCTATCTATCTATCTATCTATCTATCCAATCTATTATCTATCATCCATCACCCATTTATATCTATCATCTACCTACCTACCTACCTACCCACCTATCTATCCATCCATGTATTACAACTAATGGTCAATCCTGTGACGTGTTCTAAGGAGAAACAATCTGAAAATGTTTTTAGCATCCCTCTCTCACACAAGGGGTACTCAGTGTGAGTAACAGAGCCAGTCAGTGGCTAAGTAAAGATGTGAATTATGCTTCTTCTCCTGCCCCAGACCTTCCTTCTCCCTCGTCCTCTTTTTTCCCTGGCTCTGTGAGACTCAATGCTTCCTCAATATAGCAGATTGCTTTTTGTTTCAAATGAGATGGAGATCAAGTCTGAGTTCGGTCCTTGCAGAGGAAGGGGCTTGGGACATCCAGATCAAGTGGCATCCATTGAGATGAGGTTGAAACAGGCTAACGTGTGTAAGACACTGGACAGCCAACAGCAGCAGCTGTTTCTCTTCCTTCTTCTGGTAAAGCCCTTTCTGTTCACAACACCTCTCACAGATCTTAGAGGCCAGCTCTTCCTTGAGCCTTTGTTAGAAAAATGTCCCCAACTCATTCACTGGCTTTCAGAGCAGGGCTCCTGAACATGTGAGCTAAAGTGCATGGCAAATAGTGAAGGACAAGTTAGAAAGATCCGTGGGCAGAAGACAGGAGACTCTGAGGGTACCAAATTCCCTGGGATACCCACATCCCTTCCCTGGGCATGGTTTCCTCCTCTGCAAAGCCAGGCATTGAATTTGATCTTAGAGGTCTCTGCCAGCAACAGCAGCCGAATCCCCTCCCGGGCTTGTCTTTCAGGGCTATTTATAACGTGCTTTCATTACTCACTAGACGAGAAGGAAGCATCCCACTGGATGCCCTTGGCATTGACTGAAATGTCCATTGAAGGAGTAAATGGGCTACAAGGTCACGCCCTCGCCTGTTGTTAAAGATTAAAGGAAGGACGCTTGTGTAGGAGGCAGGGAACTTGCCCGGTGTAGGCAGGCAGTGTGGTGTGGTCTTCCCTTACAAGTGAACACATAGGCCTGAAAAAAAAAGAATGTCCCTGCCACGGCTTTGCCTACTGGACTTTGTGGCCTTGGACTATTGCTTAGCTTCTACCAGCCTCAGTCCCTTTGTTTCTAAAACAAAACTCTGCAAGAGGACTGTGTGAGACCACAGAGAGATGAGAAGGTCTAAGAGACCAGCCGGTGCTCGGCCATGGTGGAGCTTGCTTGCTGTGGGATGGTTCTAAGAGCTGACTGCTCTGCAGTTAGGGAGCAGGCACCTGCCGTGTGAGAGCCTGGAGGAACTTGGGGTGTTCACCTTGGATCAATGCTTTCTCATTGGTGACACTGTTGTCACCCCCTCCTGCTCAGTGGACTAGAGCAATGAAAGTCTGGAAATAGCTTGGTGGGGTGGGGTGGGGGAGGGGGTGGGTGGGGTTGCTATTGGCATCTGTCAGGGATAGACCAAGGTTACTGAATGCCCTACAGTGAGAAAGACAGTCCCTTGTAGTGGCACCAGGGCTGAGGGCATGGCCTTGGTATTTCAGTCAGTGCCAAGGGCATTTGGACAGCGTGCAGATTTCCCAGCTCCTGGCACAGTGGCAGCGCCTTAAGAGGTGTGGGTTGATCTGAGGTCACAGGGAAGCGGGGAAGATCTCCCTGGATGAAGTCACTGGACAGTCAGGGATGGAAGAACACAGTAAAGATGTGCAAAGTGCTTCCACCCTTGCCCACTGCACCTTGTGAGCCAAGAGCATCTCCTCTCTGGGGTGTTGGAGCCAAAGCAGGAGCCTATGTGGGAGAGATACTGTCATCAGTGTCTGGTGCGAACAGGGAACTCGGGCTCGGGAGAGGGCTCTCTAAGGATTCTGAGGCCTTGGAGATGATGGAGGTGGAGTCTAGAGCTTTGTGGTAGTGATTGACAAGGTAGGCAGGCTGGTGTAAGAGCCTCCTGGTGCTGGTACTGAGACTACACTCTGCTCTCACCATGTCTCTTCAAAATGCTCTTTCTGATGTTCTACTCACCCTGGTTCTGGGAAGGTGGCCCGGTAGGCTTCTGATTTTCTGTTCACCCTGGTTCTGGGAAGGTAGCCCAGTAGCCTTCTGGTGTTCTGTTCACCCTGGTTCTGGGAAGGTGGCCCGGTAGCTGGCTTTACCAGCCCTCCCTGATTTGCAGCCTGAGGCACGAAGGTATCTTGGTGGGTTTCGTGGACCAACAAAGTGTATTAGTGCAGATGTTCATGAAATGTCCCCCAGACCTGCTGTGGTGCTGTCTCCTGGGGGAGCTGCCCTGCCCCCCACTCAGGCGCTGGAGACCCTACTCAGGATGTCTTGGCAAGCTCAATAGAATGGTTTCTAGAACATAGGCCTGAGTCTCCCTTTGAACCACCTACACACTTCTGATATTTCATCCCTTTCCCTATCCCCTGAAACCTCATCCCCAGCACATTCAACCAGACGAGTTCTCTTTTTTTTTGTTTCGGTTTTTTGAGACAGGGTTTCTCTGTGTAGCTTTGCACCTTTCCTGGAACTCACTTGGTAGACCAGGCTGGCCTTGAACTCACAGAGATCCGCCTGGCTCTGCCTCCCAAGTGCTGGGATTAAAGGCGTGCGCCACCACCGCCCGGCGAGTTCTCTTTCTCTTCCTTGTCCACCCTCAGGCTTTTGCCTGGGGTCAAGGTTGTCTCCACCCCTATTCCCACCCCCAGTCTACTCAAGCCTGGTATAGTTCAGCACTGTTTCATGCTTGTTGAATGAATATTTGGACACATGCACACTTGGGTGTTGAGTGAAGCTCCTTTCTTGACCCTGCAGATCAAGGATGTTGTGGGCTATAATTCTCTGGGCCACTGCTTCTTCACTGAAGATGGGCCAGAGGAACGCAACACCTTTGACCACTGCCTTGGCCTCCTGGTTAAGTCGGGAACTCTCCTCCCATCGGATCGGGACAGCAGGATGTGCAAAGTGATCACAGAGGACTCGTACCCAGGGTACATTCCTAAGCCCAGGCAGGACTGCAAGTAAGTGTGTGCATAGTACTGTAAGATACTCCGTACACCTGGGTCTGGGGGAGGAAGTGGGGGGCGCAGGGTGAGCATGATCATTCAATGTCCTGCCTCAGGACCTTTAAAAGGACCTTTCAAAGCTTGCTGTTCACCTCTGCCTATTTCTCAGAGTGAGGTCCCTAGAGCAGCTTCTCCACCCCACCTCCTCCCTCCTCCCTTCTTCCTCTGTGAGCCTCACTAGCACTGTTTAGTCTGGAGAACTCTGGCTCACCTGTGGCTCTATGCCACATGGCATCATTGTGGACAGGAAGCAGCTGCCACATCAGCTCCCAATACGTGCCCATCAGCCTGACCGCAAGAATCTCTTTCTAGACAGAGAGAGACACAAACAGTGTCACAAAGACACACACGGAAAGGCAGAGGTAGAAAAATACAGACAGAAAGACAAAGAGAAGCAGACAGACAGAGAGGAAAACAGAGACACACACAGAAAGAGAGACAGAAAAATACAGACAGAAAGACAAAGAGACAGAAGCAGACAGGCAGGCAGACAGACAGACGGGAAAACAGAGACAGACACAGAGAGACAGAAGACAGACACAGGAAAAACAGAGAAACAGGCTGAGAGATACAGAATGTAAAGACGTAGAAAGAAACAGAGGCAGATGCAGAGACATGGAGGCAGAAAGAGAGAGAAACACAAAGAGGAGAGACAGAGACAGAGGAGAGACACAGATAGAGACACATTGCTTCCTGCACAGATGGCCTTCCTTAGAAAGGCTTACTTTCTTGGGCTCACATCCCTGATCTGTGGAAGCACAAGCTGCATCTAGCTTTTGCAGTCCTGAACAGTGCACAAGCTTAAATGCACCTGTCCTTGGTGAGAAAATGTAGCCTCCAGTGGATACACCGATTTCTCAAATCTCAGACAAGAGACTCTTCCTCACCCTGTGCAGCAGGCAGAGTGCTGCTAGCCCTTTACAGGACACTGTTCAACCTCTCTCCTCTCCCTGCAGTGCTGTGTCCACTTTCTGGATGGCCAATCCCAACAACAACCTCATCAACTGTGCAGCTGCCGGGTCCGAGGTAAGCAGGAATAAGCAAGGAGGAGCTGGTGGAGGCTGCCTTGGAAATGTGTGTGTTCAGAGCTCAGTACTACTCCTCCGTGGGACTGGAGATTGGGGAGTCCCATGACATGGCTTAAAATGACAGTCTGTCTGTCACTTCTTAACCCTGGTGACCGTTCATGAGTAGTTATTTTGGCTTCTGGCTTAAAGGAACACAGTCCACAGTAGTAGGGAAGGCATGGTGGCAGAAGTTACTTGTGGCTTGTTCACATCCGGGTGGATCAAGAAACAGAAAGAGGGGCTAGAGAGACGGCTCCATGGTTAAGAGTCCTTGTTTTTGCAAAGGATCAGAGTTTGATTCCCAGCACCCACATGGTGGCTCACCACCATCCATAACTCCAGTTTCAGGGGATCCTATGCTTTCTTCCAACCTCTGTAGGCAGCAGGCATACACATGATACACAGACATACATATAAACAAAATACTCACACACATTAAAACTTTAAAAACCATTTTAGAAAAAAAGACAAGACAGGAAGTGGAGCCAGGCTATAATCCTCAAGTCCCACCCCCAATGACCCACTTCCTCCAGTCTGTCTCCCTCTTCTAAAGGTTGCACACAGAAAGCTAGAGTCACGAGCTGGAGACCATGTATTCAAACACACGAGCCTGTCGGGGATACTCCATATCCAAACCATCCCAGAGTACTAAGCAGTTTATGCTCAGTAATTCTTTACAGAATGAGTTATTTTGCCTTTGGATGGTACCTGACACATCAGTGTTGTAGACTAACACCATGTGATTCTGACATCAAGGCTACACCCTGGGCTAGGGAGGAAGCTACAGCAGGGAGACCTAGTGTGTCGAGAGCGCCAAAGAGCTGGATGGTGGTAGCTAGGCAACAAGCACCATGCCCTGCTCCAACAGCCTTGCTCTGTACGGCTCTCCCTTGCTGCTGGTTTTGCCTGGGGCCTTGACCCTGAGCCTGTTTGTTGCTCTTTCTGGGCCTCAGCTTCCAGATCTTCAAGGAAAGCTGAGACCACCTATTTGGAATTCTATCCATCAGGAGTCTAACCTCTACAGTTACCCAGTCATTCAGATGTGACAGATGGGGCGGGGCTGTGAAGAGTGAGAGCTGGCAAGTAGCCAAATTACAGATTACAGTAACCTTTGTCCAGTCAAGCACTGGACCACATGGGTGTGTTGGGTGATGTGTGATGTCCAGTCAAGCACTGGACCACATGGGTGTGTTGAGTGGTGTGTGGTGTCCAGTCAAGCACATGGGTGTGTTTGGTGTTGTGTGATGTCCATTCCAGCACTGGACCACATGGGTATGTTTGGTAGTATGTGGTGTCCATTCAAGCACTGGACCACACAGGTATGTTTGGTGGTGTCTGCTGATGGCCTGTTCTGGTCACAGTGCTGCATCCATTCCCAGAGCCTGGGCCACTCAACCAGGAATTCACTGACACTAATTTCTGTGACTCTCTCCCATGCCCTGTCCCAACAGGAAACTGGATTTTGGTTCATTTTTCACCATGTGCCGACGGGCCCCTCTGTGGGAATGTACTCCCCAGGTTATTCTGAGCACATTCCACTGGGGAAATTCCACAACAACCGAGCACATTCTAACTACCGGGTAAGTCTCTCCATGCTGGGTTGCTATAGCCAGCCTGTTCATTCCCTTGCCCCATCCTGCAGATGACTAGTGCCTGGAAAAGCTACATTCTTACCATGGGCCGAGAACAGCCTTCCAAGGTCTGCAGATTACTGACCACTCACCATGAGTCTCCTTTGGGGGTCTGTCTCGTCATTCACAGCATCTGCCTAACTGAAGGAGCAAGCTGTACCTTCACTTCAGCTTTCCCTCCTGGAGGATGCTGGGTTGGACATCGGGTTTGATTTTTGTGATGCGTTTGTGGGCATCAGTGATGTTGACTATAAGGCCTCGCCATAAACTAGTTTGGACGTAGTTCTGAGATGGCATTGGCATCCTGGTCTTTCTCCCTTCTTGCTGGGAAGTGGGTGACTCCATCTGTGCAGGGCTAAGTCAGTAGGTGGAAAATAAGAGACTCCCTGACCACCTTCGTTGAGCACCCTTTCTGAGTACCACTGTGTACCCTGCTCCAAGCTAGGTACTAGAGTGAAAGGGGAAAGGACTGGGATGACTTGGACTTCAGTAGGTCAAGAACCTTCCCATAAAGACAATAGCTAAGACTGGAGCTGTTAGTTTGGGGGCAAGGCTGAGATTAAAGATGGCACCACTCTGTGGACCAAGATGGACTTTGGGATGTCGGGATGGTATCTGGTCCAGTTCTTAACAGTGCAGACAAGGAAATTGGGGCTTCCAGAGAGGGATGAGTACATTCAGGGTCAAACAAAAGGTTTTCAGAGAGCTAGGGAGACATCTCAGTGTTAAATTTCTTGCTGTGCAAGCAGGAGAGCAAGAGTGCGTGTCTGTAACTCCACTGGTGGGAAAGCAGAGACAGGCAGATCCCAAAGGCTCTCTGGCCAGCCAGTTAGCCAGTGATCTCCAGGTTCAGTGAAGGACCCTGCACCAAAACCACCACCACAACAACAACAATAATAGAAAACAGTAGAAGTCCCTTGTCATCCACCTCTGGTCTCCACGTGCACACACGCAAACAAAGCCTGTTCCACAAAAACTGAACCTGGGAGAAAACTCAAAAGAAGCAAATCAGGCTCAGAGTAGATCTGTGCTGGAACCTGGGGGTAAGGGGACAAAAGCCAGTGCTGAGGAGAGAGCCACTGGGAGGGAGGAGGAGTCACCTCCTAAATCATATCTCAGATCCTAAGCAGGGGGACAGTTCCAGAGGCAGTGGCAGAAGTGTGGAGGGGAGTTTGTGGATAGAGGAGCTGTTGATGAGGCATTTTGTGGAGGCCAGTGCTTTCCCATGCAGAGGCAGGTGCTTAGACCATGTCACAGTTGGAGAAGGAGAGAAACCACATTGGCTTCTTATTGGGACCCACCGATCCCTGAGGCTTCAAGAAAGCTTGCTACTTGCAAGAGAGGGCTCACGGGACTGGGTAGCATAGGAAGCTGGGAAGGGGAGTAATGTAGTCAAGAGTAACATCTCGGGCTGGAGAGACGGCTCGGAGGTTAAGAGCACCGACTGCTCTTCCAGAGATCCTGAGTTCAATTCCCAGCACCCACATGGCAGCTTACAACTGTCTGTAATGCCAGTTTTAGGGGATCCAACACCATGGCGAAAACACCGATGCACATTAAAATAAATAAATTAAAAAAGAAAACTTTAATAAAATAGAAAAAGAGTAACGTCTCTAATAGACGGTGAGTCAGAGTCAAGGACACAGGTGTGTGGGGGGGGGCGTGGACATTAGCACTTATAAAGGCAGGAGGGGCTTTTGACGTCAGAGGCAGGCTGGGGGAAGGTAAAGAGAATCTGCAGCTGGGCCAACTTGACTCTGAGCACAGGGCCTGCATCCTGGGCGCTCCTACCCAGGAAGGCTTGACACCACAACCTCCTTATGGAGTCATGTCTCAGGCACCTCATTCAGTCTCCACAGCCACGCTGTGAAGCAGGTGCCACCAGCTAGCTTTACAGATAACGATGTGACTAGCCAAAGAGGTGAGGGATTTGCCAGTGTCATAGTCCGTGAGAATAGAGCCCAGAGCCAAAGCTCCTGTCATCACTGTAGTTAAGTTAAAGCCAGCCAGAGAATAAATAGTAGCTTGGAAAAGAAAACTGGTACAAGCCCTCCTAAGAGGCCAAGGGGATCTGGGAGTGAGAGGGATTGAATGGTGGCCCACAGAACTGCAGCCTCCATTTCCTCCCACTTTGGCACCAAATTAAAACAAAAGAAAACAGGCCCAGAGCTGGGGATGTAGCTGGGATGGCAGAGTATTTGCCTGACATGCACGAAGCCCTTGGTTTGCATACAGACTAGACATGATGGTACAGACATATGATCCCAGCACTCTAGAGGCTGAAGCAGGAGAATCAGAAATTCAAAGTCATCCTTGGCTACATAGCAAGTTTGATGCCAGCCTGGGTTATATGAGGCCCTGACTCAAAAAAATCCTTCAAAAAGAGTGAACCTTTCTCCTCAAGTTAAGCAGGAGCCAGGACAGGCTGTAGGATGTCACTAATGTCAGGGGAAAGAGAGACAAGTTCAGCATTTCATTTGAAAGTCTGTGACATTTCTGAGCGCATACTTGTAGCCCTTGTTTGGGGGTCTGGGATAGAAACTCTCCAAACTAGCGTGAGTTCTGTATGTAGAATTGGCTATATGAACCCATATTAGACAGTCTTAGACCCCAATTTCTGTATTGACACACAGTTCACCATGTCCCACATCTGGTCAGAGAGATCCAGAGATGAGGCGGGCTTCCTTCATCCCTCACTGTAGACCCTACTCCCATGGACACAGTCTGAGAATCGCACTGGGTTTACCGGCATATTCGGAAGCCCTGTCTAGGCTGGTGTGTGAAGATGGCTGTGGGCAACAGTGGTAGCTAATGTGTCCTTCCCTCCCAGGCTGGCATGATCATAGACAATGGAGTCAAGACAACTGAGGCCTCCGCCAAGGACAAGCGGCCCTTCCTCTCCATCATCTCTGCCAGGTAACCCATGGGACGACTTGTCCCTTGGGACCTCTCAACTTGCTTCCTTTTCCTCTGCTCCGGCCGTGCATTCCTTCGCCTAATGAGTGCTGGCTGGCTGGCATTGAGCAAGGTATTGAGATACAGTACTGTGCTAGAAGTCTAAACTAAGTCTGAATTAGAGTACGGGCTCCAGTAGCCAAAGGGAGACTGAAATTCCTAGCAATTTCCAGATCCCTCCACAGAGCCAGGACCATACAACAACAGGAATGGCCAGAGCTGTGACAGGTTGGGCTGGGATACACAGATGATCAGAGGAAGCATTCACTGCTACTTTAATGGCAAGGACTTTGAGGGTCAAGCTGATGAGTCAAGCCAGAGCTTAGCTGAAGACCAGAGGCTGCTTTTAAAAGGTTGCCGTCAAGGCTGGACAGGGTGGTGTGCAAGTTTAATTCCATCCAGCACCTAGGAGGCAGAAGCAGAAAGATCTCTGTGAGTTCAATGTCAGCATGGTCTGCCCAGTGAGCTCTAGGCCAACTGAGGCTACATAGTGAGACCCTTCTCAAAGAAAATAAAGTTGTTGTCAAAACTTCAGGGTCATTAGCAAAAGTGGGACCCCTTGTCTGTCTCCTGCAAGGAGCTGGGCCTTAGAGATGGAATCTTCTGCCTCTGGGAAAGCTCAGAGTGTTCATGCCAGAGCCCACTGTGCCAGTGGATTTCTGTTGAGTCAGAGGTATCTGGGAACCTGTGAGTGACAAGCAGCTTACAGAGGCCAGAAGGAATACCACCTATGTCTTCCCGTGCTCCAGGTACAGCCCTCATCAGGACGCAGACCCGCTGAAACCCCGGGAGCCGGCCATCATCCGCCACTTCACCGCCTACAAGAACCAGGATCACGGAGCCTGGCTTCGGGGTGGGGATGTGTGGCTGGACAGCTGCCGGTGAGTCTGCAAAGGAAGCTGACACTGCCACAAAAGAGGCTCCATACTCCTCCCCAGACTGAAGAGTGAGCAAGGCTCAGAGGATCCTAAACATACCGACATTCAGCTTTCTGCCCCCACTTGAAAGACAGGGGCAGAGGATGGCAGCAGACTGTGGCCAGGGGAGGAAAAAACCCACAGCAGCATGACAGATTCACCACAGTGCTGAACGCTGAGTTACTCATGAGGACTCTCGTTTTCAGGGTCCATGGCTGGTCAGTGCAGGAAGGGAAACAGGAGTCACGGTGCTGGGCACTCACTGAGTGCCTAAACTTTGGATTTATTTCTTCCTCGATATATTTCTCAAGAATGCAAATTTTAAAAAATGCACAGTCTTAGCTCCATTGATGATAAACTCAGGCTCAATTAGTGAGTTTCTCATATAGCATAGCTAATGAGTGGTAAAAATGAGATTTGATGCTTAAGGTTGTTAGACATTAAAACCAACAAAAAAGGGCCCAAAACATTGATTTATGATGTAAAGTCCCTAGAAGTCTAATGCCAAACATGCTTCTCCTTCTGCTTTTTATGGAGCACCCTGCGAATGAGGGGGATCTTCTTGTCTTCCACCAGATATTCTAAGGAAGCTCAGAGTCTGGCTGGAACTATGGTTGAGGTCCCACAAATAGACAGAGTTGACATGGTCTAGAGCTGACAGAATAGTCTCTTCCAGGACTTTGAGCATTTACCCTGTGTGGTTTGTAGGAGTTTGTGGGGGGTTCCAGTATATCTGGATGGAGGCAAGGATGGGAGAGATTACTGGAGGTATGAAAATGGAACACCAAATGGAATACCACACTCCAGTCCAGGTGAGGAAGAATCATAGAAAAGGAGAGTGTGGATGAACCCCAGCCCTCAGCATAGAGAACAGACATGGGTGGATGACTGTTTTTAGACATGTTGAGATGGAGATGCTCATAAAGTATACAGTGAAAATGCCCCAAATCTTCCAAAGACAAGATAGGACAAATGTTTGGTCTTAGAGTCCCTAACAGATAAGGGGAGAAGGAAGCTATGAATGTCTGTGATGTCCCTAGGGTCACAGTAGAGCATGAGCATGCTACATCTCCATAGCAAAGCTCCAGGAGATACCAGGGAGGAGGGAAAGCTGGGGACAGGGAGTAGAAAAGAACAAGAGAGCCTGGTACCCTAGATGAGCCTTGGCGGATTGGTTGGAATGGATAGATCTTTGAAGAGGAAGAAGGAGCTCAGTGTGAAGTGTGTTGGGAACTAGGGAGCTTGTAGAAAGCGGGACCACCCCGGTGTGGCTGACACAGAAGGGAGCAGGGAATTATGCCCTCCGTGCCAGGGTAAGACCTGGCCTTGGGCTTATAGGAGGCATGAAGCCATTGGAGATTCAAGAAGCCTCAGATGGCGGGTGAAAACAGCAACTAGGGGAGATAAGCCCCTTGAGGTGTCCTGGACAGGAAGGGAGAAGAGGAACAAACAGTCCAGCTCCTTCATGAGGCAGGGCCAGTTGCCTCCAGAAACCTGGTCATGCTGACCCTAAAAGCATGCAGAATTTCTGGGGAGCAGCTGTGATCAGCATGGTGTAATTATGAGGGTCATTCTTGCCCTTCTCGGGGTCAGAACCTCTCTGGCTTTGAGGGAACTTGGAAATTCGCTATTTGAGTTTCTTACTGTGGCTGAGAGTAGTCTCCACATAGCCCACCTTCAGCCAGTGCTGGCCCTGAGGGTGAGAAAGCCCCCCACCCTCCATTTCTCCTGATCAACTCCACAGGCTCCGGGGGCTCAGCCAGAAGTGGGCTGGCAAGGGAGGTCCTTGAGGCCCAGCTCTCCTGTAGCTAATGCTCCATGCCCCCAAATGCTGAACATTGAGGACCCCTGCCAGTGTGGAGTACATCTTCTAGCTCTCCTTCCACCAGACATTCCAAGGAATCCCAAATTTGTGAAGAGGAACCAGAATACCCATCTTCTGTGTAGAGTAGAAAGTTAACAATTTTCCTCAGCAAAACTTTCCCCTCAGTGTCCACAGTTAGACTCTAGGGACAGAGAACGGCCTTTCCTTCTACAGCCTCATTGACTGTGGAGTGAGAGCATGTCCTGACTGTCTGCTCTTGTCCCCAGGTTTGCTGATAATGGCATCGGCCTGACCCTGGCCAGGTAAGAGTGACTGCCGTTGTGATTGGCCTTCTGTGGGAGCTTATATTTGGACATCTCACCCCCCCACCTCTCCTCTCTGCAGTGGCGGAACCTTCCCATATGACGATGGCTCCAAGCAGGAGATAAAGAACAGCTTGTTTGTGGGCGAGAGTGGCAACGTGGGCACAGAAATGATGGACAACAGGATCTGGGGCCCGGGTGGCTTGGACCACAGTGGAAGGACCCTTCCTATAGGCCAGTAGGTTTGCAATGGTGGGAACCGCCCTTCTGTGTGTGTGTGTGTGTGTGTGTGTGTGTGTGTGTGTGTGTGTGTGTGTGTATGTGTGTGACTTGAGTCACAGCCATGGAAAGAAAGAAGTTAGCGGGAAACTTCTTTGTGTTGACTCTGAATTTTTCTGCTCTCTAACAACCTGAGGGAGGATGAAATCAGGAATGAGGAGAGAGAAGTCCAACAAGTACACAACCATCAAGTGCATAATAGGGTCTTAGTGAGTGTTCAGGGGAATGTGGTGTCCAGAAGAGGGAGTCTGACTCCCCGCAACAACTCACTGGAAGTCTTTCATTCATTTCTGAGTATGGCAGAGAGGCAACCAGGCCAACGTCCACTTAGAGGAGGATGAACAGAGGTGACCAAACCTGCAGCCACGTCCAACACAGTTTAGAATCTTACACCAAAAGACAGACCATCCCTAGCTGGTCACATCTCAAGGGTGCCATGCATACGAGAGGCAAGGCTTGTTCCACTTAGGCCCTAGAATCAGTTTAGTTTTTCTCTTTGTAGAAATAATGGTTTCTGATGCTACAATCAGGACAGAAATACACAGACTGAAACTTTCAACCTGAGTACACTTGGGTTGAAATATGCCCTAGAGGCACACTCAGAGGCATCTGCTTGCTCTTCTTCAGCCAAGCTGTTAAGAACTCTTGCTTCCATTTTAAGGGACACAACAGACGCTTTAATTTACAAGTGAGTCTGAGTCTGCATTTCTAGAATTTCTTTCTAGAAGGTTACCAACCTCCAGGGACAGGATATTCCGGTAACTTCCAGAGGTGATCTTGTCTATGGTAGCCTGACAGGTTCAGGCGGATTCCTCACACTGCCTTTGAGAGGAGAGACCTTGAAAGGACCATGCAGTTTTAGTTAAGGTATATTCTGCCTGAAAAGAAGTAGATTAGGATCTGAAGCATGTGATTTGTGTAGAACTAGCAAGAATGTGCCGACCCTGAACACCTTAACTGGAAAAATGCATGGACGCACTCCATGAGTACCAGATTCAAAGTGACGGCATCATCAGTTACAAACACAAAAGTATGGAAACACAAGGAGATTTGGGGGTGAGTGGAGACTTTCTTGGGAAGCATATGCAACAGCTGGGAGCCTGAATAGAAGACGAGGGACAGCTGGGGACAGCCTCTCTCTGGGGACAGATACTTTGTATGCTTCCTTTTCCATCCTCATTCCCTTGCTTCCTTAAGTTCCCTGTGGAAGGGGAAGGAGGAGACCAAGCCAGAAGCAGAGACATGGGTATAAGTGACACGTTAGGCTTCGAAAATGACAAGCCTAGATTTGCGACCAGCCCTGAAAAAGGCCACCGAGCTATCTGACCAGTCCCTCATGGGCCATCTTTTCCCATGCCCTTCTCAAGAGTCTCAAGCAAATGGGAGAGGTACCTCTGAGGCCCTCCTCCCTGCCAGGCAAGGGTGAAGTTTCAATGTCACTAACTCTTCCCTGGTCCCTCCATGTCTCCCGGCTGCCACCTCTTCCCACTTCCTTCCTGCTGCTCCCCCAGTATCAAGCGTTCTCAGGGGCCCTGTGTCAATCCGTGGCCTTGCTTTTCCAGCAAGAGTGGTCTTTGCCTCTGGCAATGCTTGCAAAGTTCCTTGTAGTTCTTTTTATCATTGCCCGTTCTGTGTGTTTCTGTCCCTTGCAGTTTCCCAAGCCCAGCACATTGCCGGTTGATAGGCTTACGGAGGAGATTCATCTGGATCTTAATCTGATTAAATTGTTATAGCAACCAAAACTAGGGCGATAATGACTAACAGGGCTCCTCTCCCGAGGGACAGAATATTGGCAGTCTCTTGAAGTATTTACAGTATTTTCCTAGTGACTAGACACATTGATGGGAAGAGTAGAGAAACTGTCTAAACAGAGGTCCCTAAGCCAGCAACTAGATAGACAGCTATTTATCTACCAACCTATCGTTCATTCATTCATTCATTCATTCAACTAGCTGTCCATCATACCATTCATCCAATCCTCTAGCCACCCACCTACCATCCATCCATTCATCATCCATCTACCTACAATGTCTCCATCTATTCATCCACCCAACATGCATTCATCCATCTGCCTATCAGCCAGCATCCATCTACCCAGTCATCCAACCCAGTCCATCTATCCATCCATTTTCCACCATCCATCCATTTTCCATCACCCATCCATTTTCCACCATTGGTTCATTCATCCCTCCATCCACCCCTCCATTCATCCATCTTCTACCAGCCAGCCAATACATCCCACATCATCCATCTTCAGCAGTCATTCTTTCATTGACACTGTGCCCATCCATGCCATCTCAGTGAGTTAAATGATTTAATGTTTCTCAGTGGAAGGAGTTGCTGGAGGTGGGGATTGGGAATGGCTTTACTCAGAAAAGCTCTTAACATTCACCTCCAGAGAAGCAAACAACACAGTCTGACATCTGACTTCCTTAACTGCACAGGAATTTTCCAATCAGAGGAATTCAGTTCTACGATGGTCCCATCAACATCCAAAACTGCACCTTCCGAAAGTTCGCAGCCCTGGAGGGCCGGCACACTAGTGCCTTGGCCTTCCGCCTAAACAATGCCTGGCAAAGCTGCCCCCACAACAATGTGACCAACATTGCCTTTGAGGATGTCCCGGTGAGTATGGTGCCAGGACAGGCTTCTGGCATGGCCAGGCTTTGAATGATGACTCACATGTCCCCCACGGCTTGGAGATTGAGCTGTTGCCACCACCACAAGGGTGGAATAGCTTCCTCCAAGCAGGCTGGACCATGTCCCAGTTTTCTCTCTGCCCAAACTGGAAAAGTACAAGCTCAGGTCACAGAAAAAGGTCAAGTCGGGGTGAATGCCCCCTGGCCTTTGATCTGTACCCCAGTGAGAACCTAGAGATGAACTCGGGGCTCTCAAGCTTTCCTCCAGACCCTTGCCACACTGGATGCTGTGACCAGGCTACTTGAGTTGGCACAGAACATCTCACAACTCCAGCAGTGTCTGAGGAAAGTCTTCTGAAGACGTTGTTTAACTTTATCCTGAAAGTAGAATGTGAACAGGAGCCTCCTGGCTGTGGATGGAGAAGGTGGAGGAGCTGAGGGTCAGAAGAGCAGGCCAAGGCTGCCTGTGGGGCCTGCTGCTTCTCACTACCTATAGCCTGTGGTCTCCCAAGCCTTGCCCTCCTCCTACTTCTCTCCCTGCCCTCCTCCTCCTCAGTTCTTCCTCCTTCTTCCTGCTACTGCCCTTGCCCTTCTGCCCAATCCCTGGTAGGGCCTCTGAGAAGACAGGGAACTTAAGTTACTTAATTTCTTCACTCAGACCCCTGAGGGCCTGTAGGAGGTCAGTCGCAGAGATGTCCAATGGCTTGCACTGTGAGGCTGTCCTCCTTAAATCCACCGCACACACTCACAGGCTCATGCATATTCTCACACACAGGTACCCCTACATACTGTTTGTACACACTTTCTCATACAAGCACTAACCCCCCAATTCCTCCCGAGTTCACTTGGCAGAACACTCACATTTACTCACTCCTAAGCCCCTCCTCCATCAGACCAGCCTCCAAGGCCACCTACAGCAGCCAAATCTATAGTGAGCAGAGCCAAAATTGTACGATAGTTTTCAGAGTAGAGGCACAGTGGCACTCTTGACTGTTTTTCGAGTTCCATGAGATGGTCAGCCATGCGGTTTCCTCTAGCGCCCAAGGGCAGCCTCCGTCTGGCTGCCTTGTAATGTCAGCGGAAATTAGAAACTTTGCCCTAGTCTGATGACGGCTGCAGTTTCCATTCACCTTCTGGCCCAGTCTTATTTTCCTGGGCTCTGTTCAGATTACTTCCAGAGTGTTCTTCGGAGAGCCAGGACCCTGGTTCAACCAGCTGGACATGGATGGGGACAAGACATCTGTGTTCCACGATGTGGACGGCTCTGTGTCGGAGTACCCCGGCTCCTACCTCACTAAGGATGACAACTGGCTGGTTCGACACCCGGACTGCATCAACGTCCCAGACTGGAGAGGGGCCATCTGCAGTGGGCGCTACGCACAGGTGGGGATGCCACCCTGAGCCACTGGCTCACTCACTCATGTGACAAGGACTCAGAGAGCTTGGTGTGTGCCCAGCTCTGTGTTGGGCCAAGAACAATGCAGGATTTCCCTTCCTTCCCTTTTCCGACCCTCTCTCCTATTCCACAGGATTTCCATAGTCCAAACACTGCACTGGGATGCTTCACATCAGATTGTAGCGTTTACTAACTGCTGACCTTCCGCTCACACCCTGGGAGCCTCAGTGTCCTCACGTGTGAACTTGAGCTAAAAGCTGAGCTTCTTTAATGATGCTTTAGGAACGATTTCAGATGATAGTAATAAAATCCCTCCTCCTGTCCTTTCTTAGGAATAGAAATATAATGCAAGACATAACTTTCCTGGTAGTCATGTTAAAAGGAAAAAAGAAATGAGAAATTAATTCAGCAATATTTTACACATACTCAAAATACTATCCTTTCAATGTGTAGTTAATATAAAAATTATTGAGCAATTTTTTTCTGTTCATAGACTTCAAGTTTCCACATATATTGTATATTTCTAGTCCACTTCTTTTTTTTTTTTTTTTGGTTTTTCGAGACAGGGTTTCTCTGTGTAGCTTTGCGCCTCTCCTGGAACTCACTTGGTAGCCCAGGCTGGCCTCGAACTCACAGAGATCCGCCTGGCTCTGCCTCCCGAGTGCTGGGATTAAAGGCGTGCGCCACCACCGCCCGGCCCACTTCTTTTTTTAACTATTTATTTTGTGTGTATGAGTACTTTGCCTACATGTATGTCTGTGCACCATGTTCATGCCCATGGAGGTCAGAAGAGGGTGCCAGATCCCCTGGAACTGGAGTTATGGATGACTGTGAACCACTAAGTAGGTGCTGGGAACTGAACCCAGGTCCTCTGGAAGAGCAACAAGTGCCCTTAACTGCTGAGCCATTGCTCTATTCTTTTGAATATTCATTTGAATTGAATATTCATTGCCCATTTCTTTTGAAATGTCAGTTCTCAGCAGAGGAACACAGAGACCTACCACAACAATCAAGTTGTGTTTAACAAGAAGAAAACTCTTTCTCACTGCTCTTGTTTTGAGATTTATTGATTGATTAATGTCGTGATCAGGTCTGCATTTTGAGATTTAAATGAATTAAAATTGCATTTTAAAACTGGTTCGTGGACCACAATGTCCTCATGTACAGGACTCAGTGGGCACACATGACCCACAGCTAACACATGAAACAGTGCTGTACACTGTCTGGAGTGTAACAACCTGAAATAATTGCCATGATCCTGTGACCATTACTGCCATTACTTGGATGAATGACTGATGAATTAATTAATTAATTAATGAGGGGAAAGAGGGCAGAGAAAATTGTCAGATTAGAAAGAAGGCACCTGGGCCAGTTGGGCCAGACCGGAGGGAAGTATGTGATGGTCATGTCCTCCTGGCCATCCTACAAGGCAGGCATTCTTATTACCACAGTAGACATCAGAAAGCTTACAAGATACTTGAGTGTGTCTTTCGATGCATTGGACAGCCCTGTAAGATGGACAGTGTTGGGATTTCTCTTTTCATCTTACATAACATACATATGATATATATGTGTGTGTTATGTAATAAAACTGGAGGAGAAGAGAGCATGTTCCTTCCAAAGGCACATCATTGCACTTTGGTGTAAAGGTCTCTTAGCTGCAGAGATGTCACTTTATGAATATGGGATGAGCCAGAGAACTGAACAGGGTGTGTGTGTGTGTGTGTGTGTGTGTGTGTGTGTGTGTGTGTGTGTGTGTCTGTGTGTGTGTGTGTGTGTGTCTGTGTGTGTGTGTATGTTTGTGTGTTGCACACATATATGTATATATTGTGTCTGTGTGCTTTGCTTGAGTATACACATGTAGAGGCTAGAAGTTAATAACAGATGCCTTCCTCCACCACTGTCCACGTTATTTTTTGAGATAAGCTCCCTCACTGAACCTGAAGTCATTGTTTTGACTAGGCTAGATGTCCAGCAAGTTCCCAGAACTTGTTTACCTGTTTCTGACTACCCCCAGATGCATGCAGCCATGCCAGCCTTTACATAGGTACTGGGGATCCATACGAAGGTCCTTATGCCTTTAGAGCAGACATTTTACCCATTTTTTCTTTGAATGAGACAACATACTCTCATCTAGTGGGTACTGATACATACACTACCTGGCCCCCAGGCAGAGGGGCAGAGAGTGATGTAAGATAACACACCCAGACAACCTCTCATAGGCTGTGAAGGGCCAGTTGTGTCTGCGGTAGAGTTTGAGTACACCCCTACAAACCGGGCCCGGTGCTACAGGTCCTGACACCTCAGCTGCTAGGGAGGTGGAGGCAGGGGGATTACAAGTTCATTAGTTTCAAGACCAGCTTGGGTAGGCAACTTAGTGAGATCTTCCTTGACTCAAAGAGTAAAAAGAGGCCTAGGGATACGGCCAGTGGAGGAGTGCTTGCTAACACCTGTGGTGTTTAATGCCCAGTACAGACAGAAGAAAGAAAAAGGGAAAAGGAAGAGGGGGGTTAATGAAGAAGGAAGGAATTAGGGAAGGAGGAAGGAAGGAGGGAAGGAAGGAAGGAAGGAAGGAAGGAAGGAAGGAAGGAAGGAAGGGCCTCCTCTTCCCCTTTCTTGTCTTTCCACATGTGCCTCCATTTTTCACAGTTCACCAACTCCTGGCAGCTCCACTGGTCACTCCTCAGCAGAGGTCAGTTTTTTGGAAATCACAGAAAGTGACTGATGAACACAGTGCAGCTTAGGCTGTGTTCCCAGCAGAGAGAGAGGTGTCCTCTTACTTGGGCTTCCTTTCCTTCAGGCTCTGCAAAGAGACAGTAGCTCTGGAAGTGCCCTCTGTGATCCGATGATAACCAGACACTGAAACAACCCCTCCTAACGGCCTCTTTGTGCGTTTCCTTTTTGGGTTTTCAAAGATGTACATCCAGGCCTACAAGAGCAGCAACCTGCGCATGAAGATCATCAAGAATGACTTCCCTAGCCACCCCCTCTACCTGGAGGGGGCCCTCACCAGGAGCACCCACTACCAGCAATATCAGCCCGTCATCACCCTGCAGAAAGGCTATACCATCCACTGGGACCAGACAGCCCCAGCGGAGCTTGCCATCTGGCTCATCAACTTCAACAAGTGAGTCAGAGCAGCTCAGGATAACATGACCCAGGACAGTGGCACCGGCTGAACACAGGCAGGGAGAGTGAGAACTCCTCATGGCTAGTGAGGACCTCAGGCTGGTCCCTGTCACCCCTGCAGGTGGTACCCAGAGGGGTTCTCATCACCCAGAGTTGAGAATCCAAGGACACTGGCTCAGGATGCATACTGGGCCCACCTTGGTCAGAGCAGCTAACCTCTTGGAGGCTTAGGGTGATGATTGCCTCCCAAATGAACAAAGAATGTGGAGCGAGCTAATGAGTATATGATAACTACCACCCAGCTCCTGGCATTACCAAGTGCTCAGTAAATGGAAAAAAAGCCACAGGGCATTGCTGCTGTTATTTATAGAGAAGGGAACAAAGCTCTCTGTGAGTGCATCTTAGTTACTTTTTTGTCGCGGTGTTAAGATAACCTAATAGAAGCCACTTAAGGAAGGAAGGACTTATTTTGGCTCAGGGTTTGAGGTTAAAGTCTGTTGTGGTGTGGGTATCATGTCAACAGGAGCTTGAGGCAGCTGGTCACATTGCCGTCAGGGAGCAGAGGGAGATGCATGCTTCTTTTCATTCAGTCCAAGATCTCAGCCAATGGAATGGTGTTACCCACGTTTAGGCAGGTCTCCCCACCTCAATTAACCTAATCAGGAAAATCCCTCACTGGCATGGTGAGAGGCTAGCCTCATCTAGATAATCCCTCCCGGCACAGCCTTTCCTGGGTGGTCCAAGGACCTATCAAGTCCATCAATATAGATCATGGCAGAGAGGAAGCTAGCTATAAGGTTGAGGGCATCAGGTCAGTTGCGTGCTTTCCCATTCATGCATTTCCTACATGCATCATATGCTCATCACTGTACTCCTGAGACAGACATTCATCCATTGCAGAAAGGAGGATGAAACCGGCCCTTTGATCACGCTCTATCAGGAAGGGGCTGAACCCAGCCCTCACTTGCTTGTGCTCTTTAATCATAGCCTAGTTGAAAGAATACCATTTTCCCAGCCAAAACCCATGCAGAGCAACCCTAGATCAGCCCTTGAATGCTCATAGGTGACCATCCAGATGGCCCTCCTCGGCCACCTCTGGTCGCCATCCATCCTTTTCTCCTTGAACACTTTGTGACTTAGTACTTATTCTTTCAAAGTTTCCCACTTAGAATTCTTCAGCCACTCTTCCTGTGGTGTGTTCAAGGGCCCTGGGGCCTGGACACCCTTGCCCAGAACTAACTCCACCTTCCTTCCTAGGGGCGACTGGATCCGAGTGGGGCTCTGCTACCCAAGAGGCACCACCTTTTCCATCCTTTCGGATGTTCACAATCGCCTGCTGAAGCAAACATCCAAGACCGGGACCTTTGTGAGGACCATGCAGATGGACAAGGTGGAGCAGAGCTATCCAGGCAGGAGCCACTACTACTGGGATGAGGATTCTGGGTAAGGAGGCTCCTATGGTCTGCAGAAATGGGGCTCAGTTCACTGTGTATCCTGGGTCTAACCGTAACTCTAGGAAGTACAGTGTAGTTGATACTTATGAGTACAGGATGCTTTCCTAGGCACTGTGACCCTAACACTAACCATGTTCTTAACCACTTAAAGCAGTCAAACATTGGGAGAGACCTAAACTCTCTATTAAATCTGCAAGTGGATTGTAGAGAAATTTTCAGAAAAAAAACGTAAAGGGAGTAAGGAAAACCAAATACACAAACATGGAATGTGATCCCTGAAACCCAAAGGGAACAAATAATCTGCTCATTTTAAGGTGGGAAAAGAAGACACTGGAAAAGTAAGAGTGACTTGGCCAGGGGCCCCAGCACAAACCTACCCCAGCTGGATCCAAGGCCCCCAAATTCCGCTGACCTTCACTGGGTCCTGGTCAACAGACACACAATGGAAGCATGGTGTCTGCACAAAGACACTAGGGGGCTCTTTGGCCCCTTCCCCTAACAATAAATCCGGGGCTGGGGAGCTAGTTCAGTCAGCCAAGTCCTTCTGTGCAAACACGAGGACCTGGGTTCAGCCCACCAGCACCTTCGTAATAAAGATAGGCACAGGGGCATGCATTTAAAACCCCAGAACTGGGGAGGTGGAAACAGGCGAGTTCCTTGGGCTCACCAGCCAGCCTAGTTCAGTCTGCAAAATCCAGGGAAAAATGCAAGTCCCTTTCTTAAAATTTCTTAAAAGTTTCCCCCAAGGGAGGTGTCCGCAAACAATGAAGTATGGTATAGAGAAGTATGGCCATTGGCAGACAGCTCCTGAGGATGACACCAAGAGCTGACCTCTGGTCTCTACTTTCATGTATAAACACATGTGCCTGTACACACACACACACACACACACACACACACACACACACACACTCCAGACTAATAACTGGGGAAGTCCAGTACGACCCAGAGTGATGAAGCTGGCCACAGAAGCCTTTTAGAGAGAAAGGTGAAAGGTCATTTAATGGGCATTTTGCTTTTCTTATAAGGAAAAAACAAAGTAGCTTCTCTCTTTTTTAAAAAAAAGGAAAATCAATTTGCCATAATTAGGGATAAAATGAAAACAGGCTGGCTAAGAGGAGGAGTTCCAAGGTGGGAAGTGGGCCCTGGCTTGGTTTTAGCTGTGCTCTGTATATACTACTGCGTTTATCAGTTTCCACCAAGGGAGGTGTCAGCAAACAATGAAGTATGGTGTAGAGAAGTATGGCCATTGACAGCACTTCTCCAGAAGCATGGGGCCCATGGAGGCTAGACCCTAGTTTCTTCACCATCCCAGGGCCCTAACATTCAGTTCAGATCACTGGGACACCCACAGGTTATAGATCAAGGCCAGAACTGTCATCTGTACAGGAGTGTGGGATGGATGGTCTCCCAAATTCCTTCGTACTCATCTGGCAACAAGGAAATCTTAACACTGTTAAGTCCAGTATAGGAGCGAAGGGGCCATGCCAACTTCTGCTCCTTGGTCCTTGGCATGGATCCTGATGGGGAAGGGAGCCCCGGTATGATGTAGCCATGGGCAACACTCACAGGAGGTCATCCTGCAGCCTCCCCACCACACAGAGCATACAGATGGACTGGCTCTGTGCTTGGCCTTGAGCTGGAGGTTCCTGTGTCTGGCACTTTCCATTTTAGTCAGGGATCACTTGATTCCAGGAACAAAGGTATTTTTTTGTTTGTATGTGTGTTTGGCTTTTGTGTTTTTGAGACGGGGTCTCACTAGATAGCCCTGGCAAAGAACTTACTATGTAGTCCAGGCTGGCCTCAAACTCAAAGAGATCCACCAGCCTTTGCTTTCCAAGTGCTGAGATTAAAGATGTGTACTACCACACCCAGCAGAACAAAGGTTCTTGATTTGTAGTGGCTTGAAACAACTCAAATCCAAGACAAGGCTCATTCCCTCACACTCTCACGCACATGAATGTGCACGTGTATGCCAAGCCTCTTGTTATTAGGGTCTCCTCTCAAGCTGCCTTCTTTTCTCGATTTCCTGGGAGAGCCATGGCACAACATCGTCACAGCAGCCACCACTCACATGCCCTTACAACTCAGTTACCAACCAGTAAATAACAAGACCAACCACTTCATTCTCGCCCACCAGAGAGTGCATCCTCTTGCCTGCCTATTGAGAATAAATATAAACAGCCTATTGAGAATCCAGCGTGAGCCCCTGCTCTGGTCAGAAGTGGGGTGGAGTAGATTGTGGCACGCAGGCCCAAAGCCAAGTGTGCTCGTTGAAAGCTGGCTCCGCAAAAGAGAAGTGTGGACAGTCAGACCTTCTCATTAGATAGTTCAGACAGACTTGAGAGCGTTTTTCTGAGATGAAGGAACAACAATAACAAATGCCAAGTTAGTTCTGCGGCGGCCTCACAATCAGCCTCCCAGGAACGTGGGTCAGCTGCCTTCCCAATAGTTATTATTAGAGAAGTTATGACTTGAAGACAAGCAGAGTTAGGACCCACGACGGAATGGGAAAACTCCCAGCTCTGCTGCTCCCCAGCAGTGCGGTCACGTCTCTGAGACAATTTCCTCATCTGGCAAGTCAGTGTGATAATGGTACCCAGTGGGCAAAGTTGATGATTTAAATGAGAGGATATGTCAATTTACTGTTGTACGACATAGTTATTCCTCAGAAAATACTTGCCAGCATTCTTAGCTCCTTCTTGAATGTATTCATAAATGTATTTATTTTATTCCTCCAACTGCATACATATGACTCTCTGACAGGCAAATTCCATGATTTAAGGCCCTCGGGAAGTAATCTCAGTGACCAGGAGATTTTTTTTGATTTGTTTGTTCATTTGTTTGCTTGAGACAAGGTCTTGCTAGGTAGTCCTGCCTGGCCTTCAACTCAATATATAGACGAGTCTGTTCTTAAACTTGAGGTGACCTGACCCTCCCACCTCTGCTTCCCAAGTGTTGGGATGACGAGTGGGTGCCACCATGTTTGATTTGGGTGAAAAGGGGGTTCTAAGTATCCCACAGCAACAGCCAGATTCTTTCTGTGTGTAGGTTGCTCTTCCTGAAGCTAAAAGCCCAGAACGAAAGGGAGAAATTTGCCTTCTGCTCCATGAAGGGCTGCGAGAGGATCAAGATCAAAGCCCTGATCCCAAGGAACGCGGGCATCAGCGATTGCACGGCCACTGCTTACCCCAGGTTCACCGAGAGGGCCACAGTGGATGTACCAATGCCCAAGAAGCTCTTTGGAGCTCAGCTGGTAAGTGGCCATGGCGGGCTGGGCCTTTTGCCTCTAGGAGGCTCAAACCCAGCTGCACTCCTCTCTGGATACCTCCTCAGCTCCACGACTCAGTTCCGGGTCAAGGCGCAGGGCACGTGAGGAGAACGACTACCCGGACTTCACAGCCTTACTACTGTTCCGTGTTTGTGTTTCAGAAGACAAAGGACCACTTCCTGGAGGTGAAGATGGAAAGTTCCAGGCAACACTACTTCCACCTGCGGAATGACGTCGCTTATATTGAAGTAAGCAAAGGTTCTGTAGACCCAAGGCTGCTCACGGAGGTGGAGTGGGTGTATTATCTACTTTTATCTCACTGTGAACACAGTACCTGATAACTTACAAGGGGGGGGGGATTTATTTTGGCTCGTGATTCAGAGAGTTTTGGTTCACTGTAGTGAGGAAGGTATGGCAGGCCAGCACAGTTCACAGAGGAGCACAGTTCACAGAGGCCCGCTGTCATGGTTACTTTTCGGTTGCTGTGACAAAACACCGTGACCTAGGTAACTTATAAATGAAAAGTGTTTAATTTGGGGCTTTACAGGTTCAGAGGGCTAGAGACCATGATAATGGAGAAAAGGTATGGTGGTAGGAACATCTGAGAGCTTCCATGTTGATCCACAAGTAGGAGGCAGAGAGAGGCACTGGGAATGGTAGGAGTCTTTGGAAACCCCAAAGCCCATCCCTAGTGACGCACCTCCTCTAACAAGGTCACACCTCCTAACCCTTCTCAATCAGTCCCACCCAGTGGGGACCCAGCATTCACATATATGGACCCATGGGGGCCATTCTCATTCACACCACCACACCTGCACATGTAGCAGAGGCTGTGGACCTCATGGAGGACCAGGAAGCCAAGAGAGAGGCGGAAACTAGGGGTCAGGAATAACCTTGAAAGACCAACTTATAGTAGCCTACTTCCTTCAGTTAGATTCTACCTCCCAAAGGGTCCACATACTCCTGAAACATCCTCACCAGGTGGGGAGTCATCATTCAGAACATGAGCCTGTAGGGACATGTCAGGTTCAACTCTAACGGGTGGTGGTGTGATAAGTCGCCACAAGCTGTGTGGGTTAAAACAAAAAAGCTATTCTCTTTCCTTTTGGGAAGCCAGCAAACTTCCTCTGACTTCCAGTGGCTCTAAGGACCTTTGGATTAGAGTTACTTCACTCACACCTTTGTCCCGTCTTCGTGAGGCCCTCCTCTGTGCCGATCTCACATCTCTCACCTTTCTTCCCAAGGGACCCCCATCATGGCATTTAGTGCCTGCCCAAAACTTTCTGGATGTTCCTCCCCTGGAATCTTTAATAATGACACATGTGTATGTCATTAAGGCATTTTCAGAAATACTATTTCTTTCTTTCTTTTTTCTTTTCTTTCGGTTTTTCGAGACAGGGTTTCTCTGTGTACCTTTGCACCTTTCCTGGAACTCACTCTGTAGCCCAGGTTGGTCTCGAAGTCACTAAGATCCACCTGCCTCTGCCTCCCGGGTGCTGGGATTAAAGGCGTGCACCACCACCGCCCAGCAGAAATACTATTTCTTGATAAAGCCAAATTCACAGGTTCCTAGTGGGCATATCTTCTGGAGGGTCACTATTCAAACCTACAGATAGCACAGGGAAGTGATGTAATGAGGTTTTATGAATTGTGTCGCTGTGTAACTGTGTAACTCTGTCTTTAGTGTCTACATAGGAACCATATAGGAAGGAGAACCTTGGGGCTTCAGCTGCCCCCAGGATCCCTCATGCCTGTGTTGCTTTGACCTTGCAGGTGGATGGGAGGAAGTACCCTTGTTCAGAAGATGGCATCCAGGTAGTGGTGATTGATGGGAACAGAGGTCATGTGGTGAGCCACGGGAGCTTCAGAAATGCCATTCTGCAGGGGATACCCTGGCAGCTCTTCAACTACGTGGCAGCTGTCCCTGACAAGTGAGTCTATGTCTCAGCTTCTGAACTGTCCCGTGACACAACAGATTCCTGGCTAGGGCCCTGTCCCTCATGCCCAGCCCCGTATGATACTTGCCAGTTGGGATGATCTGTGCCTACGGATTGTGCCCACTGGATGGGGAGCCCTCCATGCCTGTTGCTGTTCATGCTAGAGGCAGGACTGCTGTGGATGTAGGTCAGACTGAGGCGGAGAGGACTGCTGGCTCACACCGTGGAAGGCTGCCTGACCCTCTGCCCCCGTCACAATACTCTCTCCCAATGATCTCATCCCCACCCACACCTCCAATAGGATCCAAATGCTGGTGGCTTCTGAAGTGCTCCAGCCTGGATCTCTTTCCTAAACCCCAAACGTTCCTGTCCAATGGCTGCTTAGAGGATGCCATCTAGATGTCTCTTATGGAACTAAATTCTCATTCCCTTGTCTCTTCTTTTTATCTTTTAATCCTCCGGATCAACCATTCCTTTTGTTTTTTCTAAATCATCATCCTCCAGATGTTTAGACCAGATTCTGAGCTTAATGCTGAGTATCTTTCTTTTTACCCCATAATTATAACACCGTCTAACACAGTCCATTACCCTTCCACCTGGTCCCTCCTTGGTGTCCTCTGTCCCTGTTGATCACCAATACCATGACCAAGGTTCCTGGCCAGCTCTTTTCTTCCCATCTCCCATGTTGGAAGTTAGTTTGAGCTTCTTAAATGTTAGAATCCTCAGTTGCCTCTCCTCACCTCTTTCCAAGTCTGGCACATCTGTGTCCTCCTCCCTGATGTCTATTCCCATCCATCCACTGCTCTCCACTGGAGCACTGCTTGAACCAGAATTGGGAGCCTTGATGGATGCCCCATCAAGGAATCAGACTTCTTGACGTTGGCTCCACAATGGACTTAATCTCTGCTTGTTGAGTCCCCGAACTGTACTATGGGTATAGAAATCTCTCTGTAGCCACAAGCTGGTGGAAAAGAGCCTGTGCAATCCATGTGGCACCTGTAACATTTGGGGGTTCGTAAATAGTTAAGGAGTGGAGAGAAGCGCCCTTCTGGACGTCCTCTCATGGTCCTGGGGGAACTGGACTCCATGTGCGATTCTGGAGAACAGGTTTTGCTTGGTCACATTTTGTATCTGCTCTTCCCACATTTACTCAGTGTTCCTTTCACATCATATGTGCATGTATGTATGTATATGAAAGCAAATGGATGCAGGTGCATATGGGTGTGCACACGTGTGTGTGGAAGCCAGAAGACAACCTTGGGTGTCATTCTTTAGGCACTTTTTTTTTTTTTGAGGAAAGATTTCTCATTGGCCTGGAACTTTCCAAGTAGGTGAGGCTGGCTAACCAGCAAGCCTTAGGAATCTGGTGCTTGTCTCCATTTCCCTAGCACAGAGATTACAAACACAGGTGCCACCACACATGGCTTTATTTCACATGGGTTCTGGGAGTCAAACTCAGGTCCTTGTGTTTGCAAGACGAGCATATTAACATTGGGCTGAGCCAGCTCCCCAGCCCCACACTTTAGTTTTCCTGTGCAGATTCATACAGAAGAATGCAACTTTCCAAGTTGGGAAAGTACATTTATCATCTAGAGATCAGTAGGCTTCAGGCCTTTTTTGGCCATGGGACTTTTTCTTGAAACGAACCAGAGCACAGAAGCTGGGAGTGAGAAATAGCCCCCAGACTTCTGTTGAAGTGGGGTGTGGGGCTCCTTGCGGCCTTTGCACACCCTTTGGAGAAACATAAATGGTCTCAGTCAGTCTTTGGTTGGCAGTGGAGACAGACAGGAATGAGATCCTCCAATGCCTCCCTGGCCTCCTGGGAAACAGCAATTGGGTGGGGCTGGGGAGGTGCTTCTGTTCTGTGGCTCAGACCTAGGCTAGGGCTATTCTTCCCTTCCCCACCCATGTCCGGGACCACCACTGACCCTAGGGTCCCAGCAGCTCACACTACAGACACTGAGAATAGCTTCTGGGAGCGTCTTCTGACTTTCCACCTGTGTGAGACTATGTCAGCAGGCACAGGGGCTGAGTGGTCAAGGGAATAATGTACCAGGGAGAGAGACCTGCAAATCATACCAGGAGGCTGCATGATAAGCAAGCCTGTCTCCCTGTCCACTTATGTCAGCTGACCCAAATGCTACCCTGAGTGTATGACCTTCCTTTGGGCTCACTGCCACAGGCCTGCAGTGTTTATTCTGAGTCTGAACAATGGGGAAATTTCCTCTTGGGAGCAAAGCCTTGATCCACCCCAAGGATGTGTTCGCAATGAAGCCTTTCTCATCAATGGGCCTCACCTTGCCAATCCCTTGGGCCTCTGCCTTTTAGCCTTCTCAAAGAGCCCAAGACAGCTCCTAGCTGCTTTCCCATTGGCCCTTACTGCACACAAGCCTCCCTTCTGCTCCCAGTGGAACAAAATTGGGAGAAATAGCGAGTTCCAGAATCCCATACAGTTTTTCCATGTCTGGACTGTGGTCTGTGGTTACAGAATTCCACTGAGTTGGGAGTCGGAAGCCCCGTGAAGCTTCTACCCTGTTTCTGTTCTGAGGCCGGTGCTCACTCCCCATGTCTGGCCCAGCATGAGTCTGCCACGATGGGGACTGTTTTCTTGGCACTGGGGACTAAATACAGCCCAAAGCAGAAAGAACAGACCGCCCACTCCCCACCGTGACTTCTGCAAATTGGGTCCTTCTGGCTCCTGACCCCTGCCCTCCTGAGCAACCCCTCTGGGAAGCCCTCACAAATAATGTGTAACTGTTTGGTCAGTCTCCCATTGACAAATCAGGCTGATCTTGCCCGATGAGAGAGGGTGTTGACACACAACAGAGGCCGTTCTGGAAATGCAGTGACTACATAGTGTCCTTCCCAGAATGCTCTCAGACTGGGCCACACACACTTCCTGCAGCTGAGAGGAGGCTAGGCTGTACAAAGCCCAGTGCCATCCACAGAAACCACTAACACACACCCCTGGCTCCACACTTGCCACACAAACATTAGGACCTGCGCTCAGATCCCAACACCAGTGTAAAAAGCTAGTCACGGCCACACCTGTGCCTGTAACCTGTGAGAGACAGAGACAGGAGGACTGCTCAGGTTTGCAGGCTGCCAGCCTAGCAGAAGCTTCAGTGAGAGACTCTGTCTCAAGGGGATAAGGTGGAGAGTGGTGGAACAGGCCGTCTGACATCCTCCCCTGCCCTCTACATGCACACAACACACACACACACACAGGTCCACAGAAAAAGAAAGAGAGAGAAATACGGGCTCCACTGGGAACCTAGCACGGGGCACGGTCACCGTTCTTACGAAATCAGCCTGCTGTGAGTTGGCAGCATGGTCCTTAGGAACCCCAAGCAGAGCCCCTGCAGCAGGGCTCCATGACCCCATGCTGTCAGGAACTCGTGGTGGCTTTGTAGTTTGATAGCTGCTCCCTCCTCCTCCCTTGTGTCCCCATTCTCAGTCCTCCTTTGCTCCCTTCTAGCTGTCTTGGCTTCCTCCATCACTACATTTTTATTGGCTTCTATCTCAAACATAGTTGAGGTTATTTGAATGAAGAAGCACGTATTATCTGGGCATGATAATTAATGTATGCCTATAATCCCGGTACTGGGGAGACAGAGGCAGGTGGATCTCTAGGAGTTTCAAGGCCAGCTTGGTCTACCTAGTAAACTCCAGGCCAACCTGGGCCACATAGTGATACCCCCCTCTCAAAAAAATAATCAGAAAGAAGGAAAAGTGGGAAGGAAAGAGGGAAGGAGGGAGGGAGGGAAGGAAGGAAACAAATGCATAACTACACACAAAGAAATGAAATAGCATTGAACTTTATGAGTAATTGTCTAAGTTAGGGTTTTTATTGTTATAAAGAGATACCATGACCATGGCAGCTCTTATAAACAAAACGTTTAATTGGGGTGGCTTGCTTATAGTTTCAGGGGTTCAGTCCACTATTATCATGGCAGGGAACATGCTGGCAGATGTGGGACTGGAGAAATAGAGCTGAGAGTCAGGAAGTTGACTGAGACACCCGGCAGTATCCTGAGCATAGGAAACCTCAAAGCCCACTCCCATAGTGACACACTTCCTCCAACAAGGCCATACCCACTCCAACAAAGCCATACCTAAGAGTGCCACTCACTATGAGATTATGGAGGCCAATTACATTCAAACTGCCACATTAACTATTTTATGTGAGAGAGAGAGAGAGAGAGAGAGAGAGAGAGAGAGAGAGAGAGAGATCTGAGAAGTCACACTATGAGTCCCAGCACAGGATCTGGTAGAGCACCCTGACATAACATCTCCTCACACATACTCTGTCCTGCTCGTGGGCATATATGTAAAAGCAAAGGGCCTTGTCTAGGCTTGAGAAGACCAGGAACACCAGATGTGGCCAGATGTTAGGGAATACTTGTCACTGAAGGGAAAGAGTATGTTGGCTAAGACAGAGGGAAGGATATCCTTTCTCAAATCCCTGGCCAGGCCTGGGCGCTGCCACCGCAGGTTCTACCCGAGGCCAGCATCCCTCCTGCATCCCCCTCACCTCAGTTTCCTCTCTTTCCTGTCTCTTCTTCCTCAGTTCCATAGTTCTGATGGCGTCGAAGGGCAGATACATCACCAGAGGCCCATGGACCAGAGTGTTGGAAAAGCTTGGGGCAGACAAAGGTCTCAAGTTGAAAGGTAAGTCAGAGTGAGGTTAAAGCTGACCTCAGCCCTGGGGCAGACAGTGTGGAGACGCCATTATCCTTGCTGCATCCGTGGCACTCTTTCCCACTAGCCTTGGGTACAGCCCAAGGATCCTCGGCATAGCCGGTGGCCTCCTGGCCTGGTGCCGCCTGCCAACCAACCTACATTGGTTAGCTAACTACAGCCCATTCATTTTCCCTTGTGACCAGACACTGGAAGAACACTTCTAAAGCTCTTTGCCCGTCTCCTCCACAAGTGGCCTTTTAGACAGTATGAGCATCATCAGAAACTGCCTTTGTCTGACCATGCAGCCTGGCCAAGGGCTGGCATCCTCCTCATAAGTCCAGCTGATGTCTGCTTTTGTAGCATCAATTACAGTTTAAAAAATTCTTGTTTGTCTTCTAAGACAGGAAAAGAAGAGAGAATTAAATCCCAGAGACTCTCCATGCTTGTTTAAGGTCACACAGCTCTTCTGTGATGAAACCTCAGCCCAGACATCCTAGATATGCTGGATAAAGCTAGCCAGATATAAATATCCATGTCCACGTGATGCTCATTTGTCATAGATTGTTCAGAACAAGGCCCCAGAGAGGTTTAAGTGAGAGGGAGAAGATGTGTGAATGAAGACTACCATGATAGCTACCAGCCTTGCACCTTGCTGAACTTTTAATAATTATCTCATGCATTCATAAATAACTTGAGTAGCAGGCATGGTTCCCTCCACAGAAGAGGGAGAATTCAACAGTTCCGTAGTGAGGTGCTTGCTTGGATGTGGACCCTTGCCTTCCTGAGCCAGGTCCTGACTAACTGTGTCCTGGTGATAATGAGCATCAAAGCCAGCATCCCATGATGCAGATATTTATTCCATGCTGCAGCTAGAGAAAAATCCGGAAAGATACAAGCCTGTCACAGCAGCCAGTAGAGAGATGGAGTCAAGGTCATTTCCCTGAATCCCCGGGGCTATTTTTAGGCTTCTATCTGTTACATTAAGATGCTATTGCCAAAAGGCTCAGATATACAATGACCAATGTCAAGTGGTACTTGTCCGGAGGTGATAGATGGGCACTGCCCTCCAGCCTGAGCCAGTCCTGCGCGTAGACATGGGCCTCCAAGTCACTGAAGTGCAGGGCAGAGACCATGTGGCATGGAAGCCTAAGATCTGGGGGTTCTACTCAGTGCCACACTGTGTGTCATTCATGTCCTGGGAAGATCCTTCCCTCCCAGAGCCACAAAGTGACAGATCTTGAAGAAAAATGCCACCATTTCACAGGTGGGGGTCAAAGGCTACAGAGACTTTCTGGTGGCCGTAGGTCAGCTGGAAGGCAGGCAGGCAGGAATCCTGCTCGCGCTCTTCCCTCCCCACCCACCCTGTCTCATGCTGAGCATGGCTCGCCTGCCTGTAACTTACAGAGCCTCTACCCTACTGAGGTGGCCAGGAGGCTCAAGCGATGCCTACAAGCCCCATGCAAAAAAGGTGCCCAGTCCCAGCACCAGCTGGGCTGAGAGCTTACCCGAGAGGGACAGAGCGCAGTGGGGCTGGGAAGGGGATGCCCCACTGGGGCAGAGGATGCTGGAGGGGCGTGCTAGGATGTGCTAGGGCACATAGCCCTTCTCTGCTACCTTCCTCATTGGCACCCCCCTTGATCCCCCACTTTACAGAAAAATTGGCCTTCGTCGGCTTCAAAGGCAGCTTTCGACCCACCTGGGTGACCCTGGAGACTGACGAACACAAGGCCAAAATCTTCCAAGTGGTGCCCATCCCCGTGGTGAGGAAAAAGAAGTTGTAAGGACAGCTGCCACTGTTACCATCCCGGGCTGGACTCCTACAGCAGCCGGGGACAGGATGGCTGGGTCCCCTGGTTTTCAGCCCCACTGGGCTAAGGGACGGATATCAAAGACCTTGGTGCTGCCACCTGCCCCTACTCCAGTCGACCTGCAGCACCCGGGCAGCGTTGGCTGACGCTACAACCTCCTTTTGGGTGCTTCTCTCCTGTCTGTGCCTCGTCAGGAGAGGCATGGGGACCATACAAAGAGACCTGGGTTGTCCTGGCAGCGAACGGCCACTCGGGCAGGAATCTGAACCCAGGTAGGCGGTGACCCAGATGATGGGACCACTCACAGATTTCCACAGCCACTTGCAGACACATTAAGTGGCAGATGGCGGGGAGGCCATCTTGACTCCTGTAATCGAGGATAGGGCTTCTTGGGATTAGGAGCTGGCTGCAGACAGAGCTGGCCAGGGTGGCAGACTGTGCTGGAGAAGAGATGGAGTCCTCTTCTGGAGGGGCTCCCCTTTTGAGAGACTTCAGCTGGCACGCTGGAGTGGGGACTAGGTGGCTACTGGAAGACCTCCCTGGGATGGCAGAACTCCACAGTGTTTTGCTCTATGCCTGGAGTCCAGCAGTAGAGGCAATCTTTGTAGCTGATGTCTCCGCTGGAAGTGCCCTTGATACAGGGGATGGAGAGGTGAGAGCTCACACCTGGGGACCTGGGGTCAGCAGATGACAGGCAGCCAGGTCTCGGGACACTCTGATACCAGGCTGAGAGGCCAGAAGGAAGTGACACAGTTGACCAGTGGTAGATGAGGGGACGTTCACACCACCCAGGAACATGGGGGAAGGCTTCTTCTGGGCGGCCTGGGTGCTGGCGGGAGTGAAGGACAGAGATGGTAGAGAGAGATGAGGTGGCCTCTGGCATGGCTCAGAGGTGGAAGGCTTTCCTGCCACTACCTGCAGCGTCTGAGTCACTGCAGGTCACCTTTTGCCCTCCACAGCTCACCCACGTATGGCAGGGTCAGCAGAGAGAAAAGGGCGGAGCTATGATGCACAGAACCTAGTTCAGGCTGGTTTCCAGACGGCCCCCTCTGACCCTGAGAGAGGGTGGAGTGTAGTTCACAGATCTGAGGCTCTCCCACAGGCCTCGGTGCACTTCAGCTAAGAGCTGAGCCAAAGACGATTCCAGGATATCTGAGCATGCTCACACCACGGTGAATCTGGGGTGTCAGAGATGGAGAGGAAGTCCAGAACTTTGCACCTATATCTGAGGAGAATGAGACCCGCGATGGGAAAGAGCCGCACGGCCGGGTCTGTGAGTCCCAATCTCAGCACCCACTGCCACATCACACTGCCTCAACAGCTAGCCCGGGGTGTCCAGTGCTCCTGTGGTAGCTGCTGGAAGGGGGTATATCCCGCGCAAGGGGAGAGGTGGGCCAGATAGAATGATCTTCTGTAAAGGGCTTTTTCATCTTGCTCCCCAGTGCACACTCCACACTCCCCTCTAGGCAGCAGCCCGGCCACCTTCATCTTCTTCACACTGCCTACCACACTCGGGCATGGGCTACTCATGACTGTGGAATCCTCTTGGTGCTACCTTATTCCACAGCGGTGCTGGAATGCCCAATGGATAGCATCAGGATATGCCAATGTGCTTCTGGTGGGCCAAATTGGCTTTTCATGGGTGGGGATCTGAGAGTGGTTGGCTCTGGCCCGGGGTCTCTCAGCTGCTGTGAACCCTGCCTGAGCAAATAACTCAGACGCCCAGATGAGTGGAAACCATCCATGTTCAATAATCTTCTGAGGTATCGGGGGTTCCCTGGGGTTCATGAATGGCATGAGTCCCCTTTTCTTCCCAACCACAAACTCTTTCAAAGACTTTCTTGGTCCTCTCTGCCCAGTGGTGCCAAGGAGCCTTAGTCCCAGCGTCTACTCTCCAGGTTGAGCCAACTCTTAGGGGGTCTTGCTCACTGAATAGGTCTTCTATGCTAGGAGGTGTCTGTGGGTCTCAGCCTCTTAAGACAAGGTTGCTTCAGTGGCTAACATCACAGGAAAGACCTCTTCTGGGGAGATGAGTGGGAGGGGGGAAGGAGATAAAAGTGACCTCATATTTTTCTTGTCTAAGTTTCATTGGATTTTTAATGCGAGGGTCTCACACTGTGAACCACTGAAGATGCGATCACTTTCAGGTGGCCGTGAATGTTGAATGTCTTTGGCTCAGTTCGTTTCCGCAAATACCTATTGGAAAGTTCTCCAGGCTGTACATATGTTGAGCAGTGCAGGGTTCTGTAGAGAAAGCCTTCTCTCCTAAACCATTCACCAAGAGTCCATGTCCAGGCATTTTCTTGGTAGCACAAATGTCTTTCTTGCTTAGAAAGTCGCTCTTGTCCTTTCTGTTCATCAGCACTGCCCTTGAGTCAGGCACCTTGGATCCAAAGGCTCCTGAAAGGCGCATCTTCTTCCTGTTGGCTAAATAGCTGGCCCTTTCTCGGGAATTGTATGCACAGCATGTTTTGTATGTAAATGTCCCTTGTAGTTGTCACCATGAACAAAGGTATATTTTCTATTTATTTATTATGTATGCACTTCAAGAAGTCGCTGTCAGAGAAGTGAAGAGTCATCTAAAGTCTTCTGTTAGAGGATGTCCTTTGGAGCACTGGGAAGGGGTGTGCCCAGAGCCAAGGACATCAGCTCTGGTTTGGAAAAAATCCTGCTGTACCATATTAAACATACAAAGGATGTCATTGTCTTGTCTGCTTGGTTCATTTTCTGGGACAGTGAGTCTCGTGTTAAAGCAGTTGTCTATGGAAAGTAAGATGGAAATCACCCAAGTCTGCCCCACTTACTTCCTGGTCTTGTTCCCAAGAGCTACTTACATATCAGAATCCCACCTTGCTCCCATCCCACAGGAGTGCTGAGAAGAGCAGATGGAATGGTCCACTGGCAGAGAAGATGCCATTTCATGTGACCAAGCAAGGCAGTACTTGCCTCATCCTTAGGTCCCTTAGCCATCAGGAAGCTCTCAATCCTCCCCCTCCTACTAGGGAACCTGGGGAAGGCATCAGACTGGGGCCTAGAAGACCACTGTCCTTCCTCTCAAGTTCTGACCAGAGGATAAACTCCACATCTGAGAGGAGCATGGCCACAGAGGTAGACAGACAAGTCCAACCTGAACTCAAGACAAGGGGTAGGGACGGGTGGAATGGGTTCCAGAGAGGAGTGAGGAGGCACACTGTCTGAGCAGAGTGAGCTGCTCCAGACCACTTGTGGATGACGTTTAATTAATTAAGAACAATTCAAAATAAGTAAGTTCCTTAATTGGCCACACTGCAGATACTCCACAGTCATCGAAATCTAGTGACCACCATTGAGGACTGCATGGATATAAAACATGTTCACCATCATAGAAAAGTCCTCTCTTGATACTGCCCAGAAAGCTGCTGAGACTTACACATTGGCATTACAAAAAAAATCTATGCCCCTAGTGTGAGCAAGAGAGGGTGAATGTGGGTGGACACAATCCGCTTAAAGGAGCTGGTACCAGGTTAGTGGTGCTAAAACTGTCAGTAAACAGTTAATTAGATAATCCACTGATGAACACACTGTGCCATCAATACAGTGACAAATACATGACCCAAGCATTAAGGATGTCGTCACTGAGTAGGATGGCTCATATCTGCAATCCCAGCCTTGGGGAGGATGAGGCAGGAGATTGGGAGGTGGAGAGCAGAGTGTATACACACCGCTTACCTAAGGCCTCCAGTTCCTCCTGGTGGGTTCCTGATGACTGTGTCAGGAGCAACACAATGTGCCCAGGGTCCACACTGGTCACATATTGCTTCTTTTGCTTTGGATCCTCCTGGGAGTTGCATGGTCCTGTTTAGGCCCATAAGAGGACCCAGTGGGTGAAAGTGCTTGCCTGGTGCCCTAAGTTTGATCCCCCAAACCCATGTACTGTCACACACACACACACATACACACACACACACACACACACACACACAAATAAATACAATTTGTTTTATTAAAGGCCTAGTCTCAAGGAAAGAAAGGAGAGGGAGGAGGAGAAAGGAGGAGTGGGGGAGAAACATTAGCACTGGGAAGCAATCACAGTTGTACTCTTGTACTATGCCAGACATCATGCCCCAAAAGCAACATGAAACAGTGAACTATGCCAGGGCATGCCCAGGGAGGGGTGTAGCAAGATTCTTTAAATAGGGAGGAATTATTGTCAGCTAGAATCATCAGGAAGGTCAATGGACTGGGCAGAGATAGCAGAGTTCACCTCGGAGTCATGTAGGACAAAAAAGGGGCCTTGACAGTCTGGACAGGGGCTGTGACCAGGGTTTGAAGACTTGAGCACATCTCAGTATAAAACATGTTGCCTTGCAAGAGGGAAAGCAGGAAGCAGGGCAGGGCCAGACAAACGGTAGATCTGATGATCGGGGGATGCACCCTAAGATTTCTCAGCCAAAAATGTCCTCTTTCCTCCACCCCTCACTTTAGTAGGGGATTCACTGTTACAGTTTGATACCCTTTCCTATACCAATCAGTGGGTAAGAGAGAAGCAAGGATGCTCATGTCATATGAAAGACTTCTACAGCAAAATACCAAATTAACAAGCATTTTGGAAATTACTGGAGTTTTGAGAATGAAACATACTATAACTCTAGCAAGTAGTTTTACATTATTTGGCTTATTTAGAAGATAAAGTGAAATACATTTTCAGATCCATACACTTTTTCCTTATCAACTTATACTATCATATAACTGTACAAATAAGTGCCCAACCAGCGAGGCCGGTCAGTAACAAAGACACCTGAACCAATTGTAGGGAAGCTTTTGAAGGTGACTACCACTGCCAATTGGATCTAAAGTGAGAGAAACATGTGACGAGAGTGAACCCTGATGACCTTTGGTTACTTCTGACGCAGTCACCAAGTCCCCATGAGGAGGCACTGTCAAGGCACTAGGCAAGCTCCTTGCCCCTAGATGGAGGCTGGCTGGCTGGATATGCATTCACCACCGCCAAGGAAGAGGTAAAGGCAGAGGAGGTTCCATGGAAGGAGCAAGATGCCCTGGTGAAGGTTCTGAAGGACATTGCCTCCCACGGACCTCAAGATACAGCCTGCAGGGAAAGAGAAGGGGGGTCTTCCTGCAGGCTGGGAGGAGATGGTGAGGGAGGGTCACTGGGACGAAACATGGGCTGGCCTTAGGCAGCCAGGGAGGTTACCGCTAAGGGCGTCTGTTTAAATGCACAGGCAAGCCCTCTGAAGAACTCAGAAGAGTTTATCCCAATTACTCACAGGACAGTCTTGGCTGGGCACAAAAGTGTCCTTAGGTGGCAAATGCCTGCATCGCCGTCACTACTCCTTACTTACCTCCTGTCACCAGCTAAGTCCCAAGTGCACAGAACGCTTCTCTTCTCCTCTCCCCTGGGGCTTGAAGATCTGTGTGTCTCCTTCACCTGGAGGGCTCCCCAAAGCACCCCAGCCCAGCCCTCGGCCCAGGATCCTGGGGTTTGCCGCATCTGTGAACTCACCCTTCCCCACAGGTGGTGCCCTCCTGCAAACGAGTACCACCTGCCTTTCTTATCTGAGGGAGCTGTGGTGGGGCGGGGAGGGTCCCATAGACAGGCCTGTGCTGGGCTGTTGACTGGACTTCCCTTCTGTTACCACCAGTGAGGCCAGCATCCTATACCCCCACATCAGGTCCCCACCCTGCAGACTGGGAAAGTAGGAGGCTCCTCCCTCACCGCAGGAAAAGGAAGGGGATATGGGAGGGAGGGAGCACCTCCTGAAGAAGAGAGGGTCCCATGTCCGCAGGCTATGTTGGGGGGTGATGAAGGGAGAGAAGACGGAAGTGGGGAGAGATGCTTCCCTGCTCCCAGAAATCACCAAGAAGTACCTCTCAGTATCAAGAATCCTCACGAGAGACCTGTCACAGCTCTGTCTGCAGCTGCTGCTTACCACCAATGTCAGGAATGCAGACTACTGGGGCTGGGGATTTAGCTCTATGGTAGAATACTTGACCTGAGTTTGGTCCTCCTCACTAGAAAAAAAAAAAAAAGAAATTAAATTCTCAGCACCTCCTACCACGAGCACAATACATGTTGCCTTCTGTTTTATTTTATTTTAAAAGATGTATCTGAGGAGATGGCTTGCTCTGCAAAGTGCATATGTGTGAACATGAGAACCTGAATTCTGATCCCTAGCATCCATGTAAAAACCAGTGTTGGGGTTGGACACGTGGTTCAGAGTTTGGTTCCCAGGAACCACGTTGGGTAGATGACAACAGCTTGTCACTCTAGCTCTGGGACATTTGATACCCTCTTCTGGCTTATGTGGGAACTTCACTCACATGTACAGCTCATATACACACAGAAACACAGGCACATACACACAAATAACCCAAAATAAAATAACAGTTGGGGAACTGGAGAGATGGTTCAGTGGTTAAGAGCACACGCTGCCCTTCCAGAGAACCAGAGTTTAGATTCCAGTACCCATGTTGGGTGACTCACGACCACCAGTAACTCCAGCTCTTCAGGGGAGTGGGAGTAGATGTCTAACACCCACAACCTCTTTTGGCTTCTGAAGGTCTGCACATTTGTAGCACATTGTGCTGGCTAGTTTTGTGTCAACTTGATACAAGCTAGAGTCACCAGAGAAAAGGGAGCCTAAACTGAGAAAATGCCTCCATTAGGTAAGCCTGCAGTGTAGCATGAATCTTAAATGGTCTTATTAATAAAAACAAACCCAAGGCCAGTTATTGGGGTGAATGCTGGAAGATCAGAGGAACAGAACAAGCCACAGCTACCTCACCTTGCCAACCTCAGTCGATCCTGTTTCCTCAGACTGGAAGCCTCTGTATCCTCATCCGAATGGATCTCAGTTGAACTGCTGCTAAAAGTCTAAAAGCTTAACCAGCTCTAGTTCCTGGTCCTCACGCCTTATATACCTTTCTGCTTTCTGCCATTACTTCCTGGAATTAAAGTCATGAGTTCCATGCCTGGCTATTTCCAGTACGGCTTTGAACTCACAGAGATCCAGATGGATCTCTGCCTCCCAAGTGATAGGATTAAAGGTGTGTGTGCCACCATTTTCTGGCCTCTATATCTAGTGGCTGTTCTGATCTCTGACTCCAGATAAGTTTATTAGGGTGCACAATATTTGGGGGGACACAATATCACCACACTGTAGAGCATTTTCTTAACTTGTGATTGATGTAGGAGAGCTCGGCCCATTGTGGGTGGGACCACCCTGGGCTTTTCATCCTGGGTTCTATAAAAAAGCAGCAGGAGCAAGTCTTGGGGAGCAAGCCAGTAAGCAGCACCCCTCCATGTTCTCTGCATCAGTTCCTGCCTTCGGGTTCTGCCCTGAGTTCCTGCCCTCACTGCTTTTGATGATGAACTGTTACATGGAAGTGTGAGTGAAATAAACCCTTTCCTCTCCAAGTTGCTTTTGGTCATGGTGTTTCATCACAGCAGTAGTATTCCTGACTAAGACACACAGATATATACATAAATAGAACAAAATAAAACTATCTCACTATTTAATTACGTATGAGGAGGTTGTAATGTTCACATGAGTATTCAGGAGGCAAGAAGGTTTCAGATTCCTCTGGAACTGGAGTTGTAGGCTGTTGTGAGCCATTTAATATGGGTGCTGTGAGCTGAAGTTGGGTCCTCTGCAAGCACAGTGCATGCTTTTAACCACTGAGTCATCTCTCCAGCTGCACAGGC